GGCATCCAGCGTGGGATTATTGGCAATGAGACCACCATCCAGGAAGCGTCCGAAGGCGCGGAAATACGATGGAGCAGCTCCAGTAGCTCGGGCCGCACGCCACACCAGCTGCTCGTGCGGCGGAGGCGGTGGAATGCGACGATTGGCTGGGAGATAGGAGTGCGAATTATATATTTCTGATCGAGAAAATCCTTTATGTGCTATACTCACTTATGGACGTGACTATTCCCAGAATATCGCTGGCACTGGTATAGTTGCGGAAGAGATGCAAATCGACGGGCTTGCGATCCGCCATCACACCGGTAACCATAATCTTTGGATGCTTAATGTCCGTCATCACATTGAACTCGCCGAGATTGTCCTTGAGTATGGTCTCGAAGTACTCACTGGCGTAGGGCCGGGAGCCCACGAAGCACTGCTCCTTCATGCGCAGATAGAGGCCCATGCACTGACGCATCGTCTTGCCACAGCCCAGACCCAGGGCCAGAATGCCGCCCGTGCTTGTGCCGGCAATCCAGTCGAACATGTGTATGATGGGGGTGCGTGAGAGCTTCTCGATTTCGAGGAGCATTTGGACCAGGACCAGGCCACGAATACCGCCGCCATCCAGGCATAGTAGACGTCCGCGTCCATAGGGTTTATCGCCCACCTCTGCCGCAATGGGTGACGTTGGAGATGGCAGCTGTTCCGGGCTAGAGGCTGGTGTGGCCGTTTTATTGGACAAACTGCCCGACGAAGTGGTCTTCTTCATCTCGTCGGCATTAACTTTGGTTGTGAACATGCCCAGCAAGGCGTCCATGATGCTCTGACCCTTTAATTCCTTCTCCGTATCGACCAGCACCGGAATCCTGAAGAATAGAAAGAGAAGAATTATACGATCTGTACATTATTATCCATTTACACGACTTACTGTGGAGGTGCCTGCTTTTCCATCAAGTTGTTGGCGGCTGCGCCCAGAAAATTGCCAACCATTTGGCGGCTAGTGGTAGCTAGCATAGTCTCGATATGTTCACGCTGCTCCACAGACTCAGGCGCCTCTGGCGGTATGCCGTTGTAGGTGCCCTTGGCATTGCAGCCGGGCGGACACTTGGAGCCCGATTCGATACAGCGTTTGGCGCCCACCGAATGCAGTATGTAGAGTATCTCGTCCTCCTTGTTGCCACTGGCTTCATTGCCCACCATGTGGCGTGGGGTTTTGCCATCCTTGTTCTTCAGATTGATGTCGCATCCAAACACCACCAGGCACTGGACGATGGGCACCAGCTTCTTCTCGATGGCAATGTGCAGGGCCGAGTTGCCCTCTTTGTCTAGCACATCGATGTCTGCATCATGGGCGAGCAGCGTGACGACGCACTCGAAGCGATTTCTGGCCACCATCACGTGCAGGGCAGTGCGCCCATCGAAGTTCGTCGAGTTGACGTCGCAGCCCTCCATGATGAGGGCGTGGAGTGTTTCGCGTGAGGAGCACCAGTGCAGCGGTGTGCCGCCGTACTTCATGTCCTGTGTGTAGAGCTTGCTAACGTTGGTGCGCAGAAAGGAGGCCACCGAGGTGGGTGCCGATGTCTTGTGCAGCTTGGTGATGTTTTTCGCATTCAGATTGACATCGGCGCCGGCTAGGAGCAGGGCCTTCACACACTCTGGCTTATCTGTGACGCAGGCCACATGCAGCGGCGTGTACCCATCCGAATTGAGGTGGTTCAGGTTCACGGTGCTCTTGTCGGTGAGGAGCTATGGGAGATTTTTGTTCAAGTCATGGACAGACGCATCGATTGGGACGGCTGGTACTCACATTGACGATCTCCTTGGTGGTGCTGGCTCCATAGTGAAATACCGAATTGCTGTTAATGTCCAAGTGCTCCAATTTGCTCAGCGGCAGCAATGCCTTGACCATTTCCATGTGGCCCTGCTTGATGGACAGTTGGAAGGGCGACATCAGGGTGGTGGGATCGTCATCTTCCACGCACTGCAGCACTTTGGGATTGCTGATGTATTCCACCAGATTGAAATACGCCACCAGATGGGCGAGCGTCCACGTTGGGTTCTCCGTAAGTACATCGCATGCCTTCTGCAGGCCATTTACATTGTAGAACTAAAAAGCAGAAATAAACACTTAAAATCAAAGCTTCTGTCGCCAGTGGAAAACACTTTCTCACCTCCTTGACCATGCTGACAAACACGGGCAGACGTTGCCGGAAGGCATTGAATTTATCCTCGGCCTCTTGCTGCAGCGGCGAGCGATACAGGCTGAAGGATGAGGTGTTCACATCCGAGGTTAGACGCTGGAGAACAATCTCGTAGACTTGTCGCTTGTCGTTGCTGTTGTAGGGCGGTGCGAAGAGCATCATGGCATCATCGCGAGCCAGCACCTGGAGAGTGCCCAGCGATTCGCTCTTTATTTCCAAAACCTTGTTAGGCGGCTGGTCGCCCCCCAGCAGGCGCTGAAGAACTGTTTCGGGGGGAAAAAAAAGAGTTCAAGATCAGTTAAGTGAAAGATGCCTAAAGGAGCGACACAATCAACAAGCTACACAATCGTCCAAGCTACACACGTATTAGAGACGGCCACAACGGTATGGAAAGGTAATGGGATCAAAATACCAAAGCCAGAAGCAATCGCTCCAAAGGCCATCCACGACATGGTTCAAGAATGTTGGTCTTTCGGCTGAATCACCTTCGGATGCTGTTTGAACTTTGAATCTGTTTGTTTATGTGTGCGTTAGAGGGCGATAGATGGCTTGTAGGTTACTTTGAATGCGGATGTGATGAACCTGACGTGACAGAGAAATATTTGGCCAATTGTTAGTTTACATGTGTGCATATATGGGATAGCGAGGGTGGTGAGTGAGGATTGGGGGATTGCAAAAAGCGGCCAAGAATGCCCCGTCAGATGTCTCACAGCAGCGTCAGGCATCAAGCATCAGGCGTCCGCATCAGCCAATCGTGAGTCGACAACAAACCAGCCAGCTACAAACGAGATCAAATGATTATGCGGCACATATTGCGCACCATTACCCGCTAATTGTTGTTGTTGCCCCCCCCACCACATGCCAAAAACCCTTTTCATGCACCATTTTCCGTGCATCCCTACTTTTCCCCCCTACTTTAATCAATAATCTGCCATAATGGCTGTCATTGTGCTGCAGCACTGCACTGCTCCGTGGGCTGGCTGGTACTTGTTACCCAAGTTTTCGTTGGCGAAAATGATGCGCAAATGAGGCGAAGCCGCAATAACAACTTAATCCGAGAGATAGCTTAATAATCTAGCTTTACATATCTATGCACTGACCGTTGAACATTGTACAGCTCTGCTTGGAATTTCCTTTATCTCCGACACTAAATAAAATAAAATAAATTTTGTTTGTTCCCTTCCGCGCACTTATTAGCGGTGTCAAACCATCGAGGGCACTATCGATAGTATCGATATTTTGCTGCTAGTCTCTACTATCGATGGTTTTGAGATAGTATCGAGCTACAGTCGTTGCGCTTTAATATGTTTGGATTGACTGCTATAAAATACGAAGACACACTTGTAAACAAATCGACAGGTGGCATCTAATTTTTAAAATGGAAAAGTTCCTAAAAGGTTTCAATGGTTTTTTAATAATTCTTAGAGCTATCACGATAGTATCGATTGTTTTTTCAAAACATTCAATGTTGATATTCCTCGATTTTGATATTCCGTTTAATATTACTAGCAAGTTGGCCCTCCCAGTCCTAAACAAATAATTTTATCTGATAGATACATAAATTTTCTACAAGATTGGCAAGTTTTCAGAAGTCGTTTTTATTGGATTATTTACATATTAAGGTTCAAACAAAAACAACATAAAACGAATGTGACGTCGTTTTTTGTGGCGCTGCCAGACTCGTGCAATTCGTAGTTGCTGCGGGCTGCCATACCGTGATATTTTGTGATATGAAATTCGTCAATTTTGATATTCAGTTTAATATTACCAGATAGTTGGCCGTCGCAGCCGTAAACAAATAATTTTATCCAATTCCTCAATGAATTTAGTTTAGGATTGGCTAGTTTTCAGAACTATTTTTCATTGTATTGTTTACATATTAAGGTTCAAACAAAAGCGGCCAAAGCATAAAACGTAAATGTTGACTAAATGTGACGTCAATGTTGCTGGTCAACCAAGGTATACCTTATTTCTTTTAATTGATGCTAATTTTGTTGTTCCAAGCTCCATTGAAACATTATTTATGATTTTATCCTAGCTTGACATGTTTTTTACCTATTAATGCATATGTTTTGTTATATATATATACATTTATCCCGGTTCTGATACCTAATATTGGTACCCGTGAGCTGCAAAACTTTGTTAAAATCTTTAGAACAGAGACTGAGTAGTTTCTGCATTAATTGGTGCCTGAAATTACAAAGAATTTCTCAAGTCCATAATACCCATTTTCCCAAGGTATTCGACTTGTTGCTCATTCCGTGCCAAAGTTGCACAACAATGCTGCTAGAGAGCAAATTTGGCAAACTCTCCACGAATTGAGAGCGAGCTTTAAAAGCTCACCACGAATTGAGAGCGAAAAATGTCAGTATTTTTCGTGCGCTTAATTGAGTTTGGCGGTCAATTTGAAATGTGTCTTAATATCTTTCTGGTATTTTAACTGGTATTTCCCAAGAGCTTTGAAAATACCATGTGACAATTTCCCGTTTATGAAATACGGTCATACCAGTTAGTAAAATCTCAAATTTGTTGTATTAAAAAGGAAATACCGGACTTTTTTAGTGATTGCGGCCAATAAATTCACGTAAATTACTAAATCTATAGTATCCAAATTAAGACACGCCCCTCCGCCCAGCTTACCATTTAAAGCGCTCTTCGTCGTCCACCGTGCCTGACTGCATACCGAATTTGAGGCGTAAATTGCAGTTTCAATTGCAGTTAACAGCAGTGGCCCCACACCAGACAAGTAAGTTGGGTTAATATAAGCCACAAGCACGGCACGCAGCAGCAACAGAAGCAGCAGTAGCGGTGGCAGCAAGCCAGAAGCAGAACCAGGATAGAAGGGCGTTGTTAATGCCACATGCGATGCCGAATGGCTATAAACGGGGGCTAGCGCCCAGGTGGGTGGCAATGGTGGTGGCAGCGGTGGAGGCTGGTGCCCAGTGGGTGGCGACTCCCCCAAGGGCACGCCGACCACAGCTGGGTGGTGGCGTAAGTGTTGCTGCGACCTGTGCCATTCTAATCTGGCGAATTTCGCGATTCCAGTGTCTGTTCTGTTACTGCCGTCGCCATAGCCGTGATTCACCATTGTCCAGTTCCAGTTCCAGAAGTATTGACGTAATTATGCAAGTGAGACTACGTATATTTAAATCAAAATTCCGCTCTCTCTCTGCCTCATTGCAGCCAACGCGTGAGATCAGCCAGCGCCAAGATAAAATGCAGAACCAGCCCAGCCCACAGTTGCCATGCAAGGGCATTTTAAAGACTTCTCGCAGCTTCGACAAGTCGGGCGCCAGGTGAGAGACAAAACCACACATACACATACACACATACACTACCTATGACCTTTCCACCTGAACAAATGCTAAGCCGTAGAATTCCTTGCAGTTTTCGCAAAAGTGCCAAGTTCGATGAGCTGAACGTGCTGCAGACGTTCCATCCGGCGGACAAGGACTACGGACATATGAAAATCGATGAGCCAAAAACCCCATACTACGAAGAAACCAGAGACGAACTCGACACAGAACTCCTAGTGGAGAAGTAAGCCTCTCCCTTCCCGTTATAGTTCGTCTGATGTTTACATAAATACTTGCTCAATTTTTTCCAGACTTCGCATAGCGGCCAGCACACAACAGTCTTCCGAGAGCATTGAGGACGAGGGTTCTTCCGACGACGATCTTCCCATGAACGAGGAGGAGAGACGTGAGCATTGAGCGCTACTCAAATTTCGCCCAAAATATTTATTGTTTATTATTTACTTTACAGAACGGCGCCGTGAATTTGAGCGGCGTCGCAAGGCCCATTATCGTGAATTCGAGGCGGTAAAGTTGGCTCGAAAGCTGATACAGGAGGAAGACGACGACGACGATGATGATGACAAGAATGCCGCCGGCACATCGGACAGCAGACCGTCGGGTTCCCAGACAGGCTCTTCCACCTCCAGCCGCTATGCAAGCAGTTCGGCGAAAAAGTCCAGTCCAAAAGCAACTAAATCCCCGTCTACCAGCAGCAACATGGACCTGGAGCCATCGAACAACTAGGAGCAATATCAATTAATCAATCATCAATCACTAATGTTTACCTAGCCAACGGCCCAGGCCGAAGTTGACGTTCAATATTAATGGCTGCCGCTCATCATAAAACAAAAAAAAAACAAAAAGAAAACAAAAAGAAAACATTTAAGTGAAAAAAAGGAAACGAAATTATTATATCAAGTGCTGTGGCCCCCCAGAGTGAGAAGTGTGACGTACATGAGATCGAGTACGACGATAAGGAGTAGGAGTAGGAGTAGGAGTAGGAGAAGGGCTAACGTTAGCACTCGTGATTAATTGAATTTACTTATTGCATTGCAAAACCAACAACCAAACCGTCGCGAAATGTTTGTCATCAAGTAAATCACACACACACACACCAACACTCGCACACACCACAAATCAATGGAATTGTTGCCACGTGATCGATGATTATTGAACGAGAGCAAATATAATCATCGCATCAGGCCCAACAGGCCTCGCGCTGCTGTTGCTGCTGATGCACCAATTAAAATTGTGGTCAACGTGTTTTTTGAATTTGTAGCTCCATTTTGCATTTAGTTTTCCCATAAGCGTACAGACAGGGAGAAGGAGAAGGAGGATAAAAGTGCCACAAGTAAGCCAACGCTCGCACGGATCGGATCCAAATGCGATGTACCACATAGAATCCCCAATTGTTGTAACTAAAACGTTGACATTGATTTGGCCTTACGTTTAGTAACTTATTAATACAATACTATTATGATTACGATTAAGTTTTAGCCATGCAAATGCGAAAGTTTCAATAAAGGAGAACCCAACCCAATCGAAAAAGTGCGCCAGCCCATCGTTCTTCTCGTCGCGAGTATTCAGAAACTTGCCGTTTATTTTAGTATAGTTTTCATTTCTCATATTAAGTTATACATCATCGTAGTGTGTGTGTTTTGTTTAATTGATTGGGTTTGACATTGCTGGTCTTAGTAATTGGTAAAGTCTGAGAGTTGTCGGCTGCCACTAGACCCTCCGGAGTCCGAAACGATCCCCCTGCACCGCGCCAAGGCCGCGCACAGAGCTCGGGCCGTGCACATGCAGCAGGCAATGGCATCCTCATACTGTTTACCGCCGCTGGATTGGTCTCGGGGCCCTCTCTGCTGTATCCCGTGGTGGTGGTTCGGTGGGGGGCACTCTGCCAATCCAGTGCATGGGGCAAGCTGTATTGCCGGCCTTCGCGTGGTGGGAAGATCGAACATTCAGTGGTGTGGGGTGTGGGGGGGTCTGTGGCGCACGTTCGTTGGTTTTCATTGATGACTGACTGATGATGACTCACAGAACTGACTGCTTGGCGTAGTAGCTTCATCTGCTAGTATAACTGTCTATGCGGGGGTTATTTGACGGTTTTTTTTCTTCATGTGCTGTTCGACCACTTTGGGTCATAATATATATATCGTGTATATATGTAGTATAGATATAAGCGAAAAGCATGCAAACTCAAACAATAAACATTGAGACGCCCGGCCGGACAACTCCTAAGACAGCTCCAAAGGCTGTGCCCAAATCTTCGCCTCGGGCGGCATCCCTTTCGTTTTACAATATACAGTTAGTGGGGGGGGTTCGGGTTGCCTGCCCCAGGCCAAGAGGTGTCCTTAGTGCTAGTTGTCCGTACAGGATCCACGTTATATATAATAGAATAATAGAATTGAATTAGTAATGCCTTAGGGCTCTAGAACAAGGTTTTCAATCTCATTTTCAGTTTCCGTCTTGGGTCGCATCGTTTCCGTTTCATTTGCTAGTTGTAACAGTGTAACAATTATCTTAGAATCTATCGCTATATAGGGTTTAGTATATATAGTTATATTCTCCTGCTGCTGCTGCTGCCATACTATATGCACATGCTCCAAAATATGTGTATATAGTATGGGTACACATTGAGACTTTTTATCTTTATCTTTCGTTATCCATTGCCCAGGCTGAGCTCTTCGTTGCCTTTTTGGGTCATTTGATGGATTAAGTGGGGGGTGTGTTTCCAGTTCCATGGCTGCCCACCCAATGGGTCCATTCCGTTCTAGCCGGAGTGGATCCATTGTCGGGCGAGTGGAACGAAACACCGCCTACCCGCTGTTCTCTTCTGTAGTATTGTATTTCTTCTATTCAGGGGGTGGGGTTATCTACAGACCTCCCCCCTGGCAATCGTTTCGTTATATATGATATATAGATAGATATATGTATATATATATGGCGTCGTTAGTGTTTCATTTTAAGATTAGTATAACAAATTGTATGTATCCTACAGATAGTTTTGTTTGGGTTTTGTTCGTTAGTTTCTCGTTTTAGTAGCATATACCCCCATACGTAGGTACTATATGTGTGATCGTTTCTAGTGTTATCTGTATATTATGAAGTGGGTTCCATTGAATTATATGTTCTTTCTGCTGTTCTGATCCTCCTCCTCTGCCTTCTGCTGTTGTTTTTGTGCTGATCCAGTCTTAGGCGAACATGTGCTGGGTGCCGGGTGGCACCTTGTAGCTGGGATAGCCATTGTTCAGCTGATTCTTGGCAAAGAAGGATGTGTAGTCCTGACGAAAGTTGTTCTAGTAAAAATTTGATGTTTTGGGGGTTGGGTTTAGTAGGGTTGTATGGGGTGCCAGCTCTTACCCTATTTACTTTTCTGGGACGGCAGACGGGGCCCAAGGCCAACTGGCGACGCTCCTCGTTTTCACGTGCAGCCGCCTCCTTGTACTCTGGTGGTGGCCATTTCAAATCTCCGCGCAATTTGCTGCCTCCTATTAAAGTACAGTCAAGGTATTAAATTTTAATGCATCTTTGGGCGTATTACGCGCATATCTTACCCTGATAGCTGACGGCGGCAGGCTGCGAAGTGTAGACTGGCGCAGACTGCTGTGAGACGGGCGCCTCCTTTCTCAAAGTTATGATGCCGGGACTGGCGCCACGATAGCCAGCATCCTGGCCAGCATAGGCAACGGGCACTTGATGCTGCTGCTGCTGCAGATCTGTTTGATCCTGCGAGTACGGCAGTTGCTGCTGCTGGGGCTGCGAATAAGAATTGTACTGGGGTTGAGCATATGTCGTGCCACCGTTTTGCTGTGGATAGTAGGATGGCTGCTGCTGCTGCTGTTGCTGCTGTGGCTGTGGCTGTGGTGCTGCCTGTTGATAGGGCGACGTCTGATAGGGAGCCTGGCCCTGAGCCAGAGGCTGAGCTTGGTATTGCTGCTGTTGCCACTGAGGCGCGGGCTGCTGTGGTGCAGCTTGTTGTTGCTGCCACTGAGGAGCAGGCTGCTGTGGTGCAGCTTGCTGCTGTTGCCACAGAGGAGCAGGCTGCTGTGGTGCAGCTTGTTGTTGTTGCCACTGAGGAGCAGGCTGCTGTGGTGCAGCCTGCTGCGGTGCAGCTTGCTGCTGTTGCCACTGTGGTGCCGCAGGCTGTTGCTGCTGATGCTGGTTACCGTATTGTGGCTGCTATTGGTTCAATGGTGCATTTTGGTGGTGCGGTGGTGCATTTGGGTTTCAATCACGGGTGTTATGGATGTTGTAGATGGGTTTTTGGTTGGTTGGTTTGTTGGTTGTTTGGTTTGGGAGGTGCAAACGACACACACAGACGATGTGGAAAGAGAGAGAATATATATGTTCGAAATACAGATAGAGAGACCATACATAGTTATAGGAAGATTATAGGAGGTTAATATCTGATACGGTTTAGTGGTCAAGCGATAGGGGCGAGGGGGATTAGATGTTCAGATTATACGTGTGCGAAGTTTTACAGCTGAAAGTCGCAGAGAGAGAAGCAAAAGCAGAATAGTAAGCGATTTGTTAACTAGTTGTTGTTGCCACTACGACAGCGGTTAGTGGTGCGACTAAGTGCATGCTGAATTCTGTGAGTACACAAGGAAAGGGTAAACATTCGAAATCCGGAAATTAGTAAGTGTCTACGATAGATAGGGCAGGACGGCTCAGCAGGCGGCAAGACAACAGAGAGAGAGAGAGAGAGAGAGAGTTCTAGCATCAAAACTGCATCAAAGTACGTGGCATCGCTTCCTTTTTGTGTACCTGCTGTAGATAGGCTGGTCGCTGCTGCTGGTAGGGTGCTGCTGCTCCTCCAGCCGGAGTGTAGTCATGTTGCGACTTGGGCAATGGGGCACGAATGGGCTTCCAGCCACCGCCTGCATTATCGAGGGCCGTCAGTGGTTCCTGCTGATAGTTCGACTGATAGTTGGGATACGCATCAGTCGCCACAGGCTCCCTCGAGGCTTGTCTATTGAACTGCGCCTGTGTGTATTGCACGGGCTGCTGTTGCTGCTGCTGCTGCTGCTGCTGTTCATAGGGATAGCTTTGGTCTGGGTACTGAGAGGGAGCAGGAGCAGGAGCCGCCTCCTGGACAGGTGTGGCACCGTATTGGAATTGCTGCTGCTGTGGTGCCTGTGGCTGAGGTGTTGGAGTGGATCGTGGCTGGACGTTGTTATAAATGGGACCCTGAAAGTTAGGTCAGTGCGAAGTTAGGTGGTGGTGTATGTGTGGGTTTGTGTGTGTGTGTGTGTCTCTGGGGAGGTTTCGAGGGCTCTATGTACATCAGTGGAGACGAAACAAGTTGCTGTTGACAATTATATTTACACAAATCTTGACTTGACTTGACTATATATACATATATATGTACAATTCAGGACTTCAACGGATATTGCAAATTACCTGAGCTGGAGCAGCACTCGGCTGTGGAGCAGCTGCTGCTGCCGCTGGCTGGGGATAGTAGCCGCCAGCTCCGGGTGCCGGGCTCTGGGTCTGCGGCTGCGGAGTGAACTCACGGATAATGCGCTCCTCCGAGGCGGGTGGCCAGGCCACGCGCTTGTAGCCTGCAGAACGTGGAAGGAGGGGTACAACAATTAGAAGGGTTCAAGCGAAGAGCAACAGCTGTTGCTGTTTCGTTTGGGGATGGATGGATGGATGGTTGGGTACAGATGCAGTGTAAAACATTCAACAAAATGCGGCCAAACGTGGGCGTTGCTTGGCCTTGGGGTACGTAGTACGTACACGGGTGCAAGACAAACAATTTGAAAATGATTTAAGCCAATTAAAATTATACAATATACAATGTGCAATTCGAAATTCGCACAAGAGTCGAGTCGAATCCCGTCCCGTCCCGTCCCGTACGTCCGTCTCCGCAGCTACAGATGCTGCTCTGCGGCTGCGGCTGCTGTCATTGTGGCTAAATTTAGACGATGAAAACGAGTCGAAAGCAAGGAATGTGACATTACTCATAAGGCGATGATGTTGCCCCCACACCCCACCCCACCCCCACGCCACATGCAACATGTTGCCTAGCCACATGACTTAGCTATTGCACTGGGAGAGAGTAATAGAGAGAGAGAGAGGGAAAGAGATTGTGTGTTTACCCTCCAGATTCTTGTAGTTTTGGTTAATGATCTTCCACTGGGCACCCATCGTTCCTGCCTGCCTGGTTGATTGCCTGGGCCTGGGGCTATATACTATATAGTATCTGTTCGGTTCGGTTCGCTTCGAATCTGATCGTTATTTTTTTTTTTTGCGTAAGAATAAAATTATTCTTGCGCGCAGATATCAAAAATAACAAATACAGATATATATATCTGTAGATAGATCTCTTCTATATGTTGTAGCGTTTTTGCGGCTATTTTTTGACTTCTTGTCCGCGAGGCACCACACAAAAAATTCGTCGAGAGCGAACGACCGTTATATAACCCCCGTCCCACAGATATAATCAATTGCTTCGATTTGGTTTTGGGTGGGGGGGATTGAAATTGAAGGTTGACACACAACAGGAATTATAATTTCCTTGCTTTCCTTCTTGGGTTATTATTTTTTGTTTGCTGATCGATTCGGCGCGCTTTTCGTTTTGGGGTTTTTTGTGTGTGTGTTTTTTTTTTCGGATCGATTTCGTTGAAAAATTAAGAATTCAAATTAAAAGCAGACAAAAGATCGACAAGCACCGTGCAAAAAATTTTCGTTCGATTTTGAGGTTTGCGGTATGTCGGATTGGGATTCTGCTCAATTTAATTTCTATTTTCTATTTGGCTATTTGCTAATTCGTTGATCGTTCGCGCTGGCCGCTGATCGTTCGCGATATGTTTGCCTTCGATGTATGCTACTAAGTGAGGAGCCAGCAGAGCCAGCAGAGCCAGAGCCAGCCAGCCAGACAGAGCAAAATTATTGTTAGCCAAAATCGAGAGACGAATCGAAATGGTCAAGATACAGATTCATCTGCATTCGTGTGGGTTACGGCAGGAGATACAGATACAAATAGAGAGAGAGAGAGAGAGAGAGAGAGTGATCTCCTGAGTGGGATAGTGGGAGGTGGAAAGTGTGGGAAAAGTGTGCGATAAAAGTGGGTAAAAGTGGCGGCTGCTAATGATGCTGATGCTGATGCGGCTGCTGCTGCTGTCTGAGTTTTAGGGTTCCTCTTTATAGCAGCAGCAGCACGGCATGTTACCTCCACCTTACCCTTCCTCTGGCTGTGTGCTCCTGGCCCACTTTTGGCATTGTTTACACCTTCGATTCTTTGTGATTTGTGGGCGCACCTTGAAATGTTCTGCTGCCGATCTCAAGGTGTCTGTCTATACATATGGTATATACATATGTGCATACGCCTACGTGTATATATTTATTCGTATATCTTTTGGATGCCTGGCATATTTCTGCGCTGCCTCCCAGTTCTATTTAGTTGGGCTGAGCAACACTTCTGGGGCTGTGTGTTATTTGTTATGGCAATGCATCATGCCTGATCCATCTACTTAACTATCCATCCATCTAGCTGGCTATCTATCTATCTATCTGTTCCTCTATCCTCCTCTAGCCTTGAGTCTGTGACTCAAGGGTGAGCCCCATCGGTTGGGGTTGGCTAAAATTAAACGTCTGTCATCTTGGCCACAACTAAACAAATCTCTTTTTAAACGTATTCGCACAGGTGTATGACACAAGTTGGCTCATTAAAATTATTAGCAAACTTGTAACTCATCTGTCTGCTTCTGCTACGAGTACGAGTATATAACTTATCCCCCCCCCCCCATATACCCGCAACACATGCCACACATAATACTCGCACATACAATTATTTTGGCATTATGCTGGCCGATCTGCTAGCCTGCTCTGCTCGTTAGCCACACAACAAATTCGCTTTGATGGCCGTCACACGTCACAGATAAAATAACAAAAGGAATGGTACGAGTACGAGTGTACGAGTATATGGTTTATGGTATTATGGTTTATGGTATGGGGCTCTGTGACTATGACTATGACTATGGGCTGTGCATCGCTTCTAGGGCTCTTCTGTTGCTATTTTGTTTCTGTTTCTGTTTAATATATCTGCCAAGATTTATCTGTGCTGCGTGAGAAAATCAAAATGGATTGCGTTGCCTTTCAAAATGTTTGTGCGGTGATTTCCGGAAGATATTTTTGGGAAATTTATAAAGTCTAAAAATATCTGTGATTGATTTAAGGCTATAAGTTTCCAGTAGAAGTCGTCGCTGCAAGCGGAAGGATGCTGTACAAAATCAGCGACTAGGATTTATGTATTTATGTATGGTAAACAATGGAAATGATGGAGAGTCGCCAAAGATAGTGATAGATATTATAATGGACCCATGGATGGACAGGAATAAAGTTAGCCTGCCAAGATGCCAAACACTTCGTTAAAGATTCAACCAAAAGCCAATCATCTCTCGATTAGTCAGATGCGCAGGAATCACAGACAAAGACACAGATGTACACACAAGGAACACAGTAAGGAAGTGGGCTGGGAGTGGGTTATATACCCACGCACCTTCAATGGCCACATAGGGGCGTGGCGATGCATTATCGAAGGATCGATTCACATTGAAATCGCGCACCGATTGCTGCTGTCGGGACTCGGACTCCTCCTCCTCGCTGCCAGCTGCCAGAGATCTGAATTTGTGCGTGTCCAGTGAAAAATCAAAAGGCGATGGCAGACCCCGTGCAGCACGGGGCGTGGCTGGGGGCGTGGAGGCCAGCAGGGAGGAGGAGGCGAGCATGCTCTGCTGCAGTGGTTCCGTGGCGGTGCGGACGAGCAGCCCAATGTTGTGGCCCTCCAACTGGGGGACATGCGAGAACTTTGTCGCCACAGCTGCAGAGGGGAGAGGCGTTGGCGTTGGCGTTGGCGATGGCGTTGGCGCTGGGGGCATCTTGAGCACCGGATTGAGCCTAAAGGGTGAGCTGGCCCGCTCCGGTGCCTCGATCAGGGGCGCGGGATACTTTCGGGAGGACAAAGGACTCGGCGATCTACTCCGCTGCCAGGAGATCTCCGCTGCCGGGAGATTCAGACGCAGTGGTGGCGGCGGCGGTGGCGGTGCGGAGGGCGGCGGCGAGTCCGGTGCTCGCGTGGTCACAATCTCCACGAAGCTGCGCTGACGCTGCAGCTTCTCCGGCTGCTGGTGCTCGGCTCTCTGGGACTTCTCCTCCGCACTCTGGGTGTCCTCCCAGGAGATCTGGCGTGAAATGTACGGACTGCGAATCTCGTAGGTGGCCTTGTAGTTCTCCATGGGCTCGTTGTGCAGATTGGCGATGCGCCACTGGTCCGCCTTGGTGAGCTTGCTCCAGTTGTTGGGTGAATAGCGCAGCTCATTGCAAGTGGGGCAGCAGATGCTGTGCTCGTTGATGGCATCCTGCCGATGGCCGCATGGCTCCTCATCCCTTTCCTTATCCTCCTTTTGTTCCGCTTCCTTGTGGCTCTGATTCTCTGGCTCTGCATCTGCCTTGGCATCCCTTGCCTCCTGCTGCTGCTGCTTGCCCGTGGAGAGCTGCTCGTAGTTGGCAATTACGTCGGACACATGTCGGTACTCCGCATCCTCCGCATCCTCCGCATCCTCCGCATCCTCCTCATCCTCGATGACTACGTGCTGCGCCTTGACCGCAGCTGGCGTCGTCTTGTGCTCTACGTGCAGCAGTTTCTCCTCCTTCTGCGCCAGCTGCTGCTGCTGGGGCTGCTCCTGCTGCTTGTCCAGTGCCAGGGCAATCCTGTGCAAATCCTCGAGCGCCCGTTCCACAATCGGCACATTCTCGGTGATCTCTTCGTTGGCCACCTCGGCTATGGACTCTTCTTTGGCCACGCTGCCGGGTCGGCCCGATGCACGGCAATAAATCTGACGGAGTATCGCCTGCAGCGGACTCTCCACGGCCAGGATGGGCGACTGGCGGGAGGAGAACATGTCCCACAGTTCGTTGTTGTGACCGCTGCCGGGTCGCGAGTCCTGCGTTGCTGGAAGAGGAGGTGGAGTAGGAATAGTGGCAGTGGCAGGGGCAGGGGCAGTGGCTGGTGCTGCGCCTTCGACTGTGGGCACAGGAGGGGCTTGGACACTCCGTTGCAGCGCCATCTTGGCGTTCTCCATGTAGGTATCTATCTGACGCAGATGCTCCGCTATCGACTGCTGTATGTGGGCGTACTTTGCCTCCAGTTGAGAGATCTCCACATGAGCCCCGTGCTGCTTCTCAGCCTCGGATTCCGTGCTGTAGACTCCTCCCTGGCGTCGCGCCTGCTTGGCCCTGGCCGTCGATTCCTCTCCGGACTTGGGCCGCATCTTGGCAGCCATTGGCATCGGCGGCGGCGGTGGTGGGGGCGGAGGACTGGGAACACTGCTGTTGCTATTGGATGTGGTCCTGAGCAGCTTGATGCCGCTGGTGGCGCTCACATAGGTGGTGCCAGCTAGGGCCACATGGCCATTGGCTTCCTCCTGCATCTCCTGGTGGCGATCCTGCTGCAGGTAGGTGCACGCGTCGTCGTAGATCTGCTGAGCACTCGGTTGAAGCTGAAGCTCGCCCGATGCCTCAACGCGGACTGGTATGATGCGAGTGGCAGCGGTACCGGTGCCCAGCTCCTGGCCGGTGCTTGTGCTGTTGCTGGCCAGGGCCAGAGCCATCTGCTGCTGCCGCTTGACTGCCAGGCTGTCAATTACCGCTGCTGACTTTCTTGGCAAGCCCTCGTTCGCTTGGGCACCAGCTGCTGGGGCTCCTCTGGGTATCGGTGGCAGCGGAACGGCCTCCAAGTCCACCTCTTGGCTGGTAGCGACCTTGGGCTTGTCCTCCTCTTCGCTGTCCGCCTCATTGTCATAGGAGATCTTCACTTCGGTGGCCAGCTTGATGCATCTGCGCTGCACCTTCGGCACCTTGGTGGAACGTGGCTTGGGCGGCGGCAATTCCGGAGCTCCGGCCGCTGCCACTGTCCGCTTGCGGGAGCGTCCGCGGTCCAGGGAGTACGCCTGTCGCTTGGGTCTCGGCCTGTACGGGGTGATCGTCAGCGTTGTCGGTGTTGTGGGGCGCTTGTGGGCCAGCTGCTCATAGTACTCGCAGCGGGGTGCCACCAGACCCAGATCCACGTCCGCTGCCTTGGTCTCCGGCGCAGAGAAGCCCTTGGCCACGGGCGTCTGATGGAAGACTTGGGCCAGCTGCAGTTCCGTGGCTCTCAGCGGCGTGATTGGCCGCTCCTTGGAGCCCTCTCGCTGCCTCTGCTCGCGCACCTGCTTGGCCGTGGGTTCGATGATCATCGTCGGACTCTGGAACTTCTCACGCAGCGCCTCAATGCTGTGCGAGGCGCAGGAGGGGATGTGACTGAGATCCGGGCTGCTTGCGGTTATTGCCACCGCTTCCGCCTCCGTGGGCGGCCAGCTGTGATCCCGCTTGAGCATATGGCGCTTGGTGGCCAAGCGATTGATCTTGAGCACCGTGTCCCGGTCAATGGTGATGTCCTGCTGATGGCTGAGGTAGTGGGTCTTGATCTGGTCCAGCAGCTGCTGGTGCAGCGTATGATGCAGGCCATCCCCATCGCGCTGACGCGTCCGACTCTGCCTTTCTTGGGGGTAAAAGTCTTTGGGGGCATGGTTTTTCAATCAAATCAATTAAAGTTGCTTGCACGGTCAAACAGAGTCTGGACAGGGCACTGAGAGTGGGCGTGGCTGTGTTTTGTTGAATGTTTTACACTGTTTAACATAGTTTATTCTGTTGGTCGTGTGGTGTACACGGACACAAGACACAAGACACAAACATACAGAGATACACCAAAAAAATGGCTGTCAAATTCGAATCTTACCGCATTTGGCTTGCTGCTCCTCCTCTTCGACGGCTCTCAGAACGGCCGAATTGGCCAGATTCAGGGGCTTGCTGATTTGATCGTCGATTTCAATCCTGAAAATAATGTTAAAAAATTGTTAAAAATTGTTGTTGTTAAATTGTTAAGTTCTAACAAAGGCGGCCACTTTCTGTGCGGTTCTTAAATATATATTAAATATATATATGAAATTCTCCTATTGAGTGCACAAACGGTATTGATGTTAAATTTGTTGTTCCAAGCTCCATTGAAACATTATTTATGATATTATCCTAGATTGACATGTTTTTTACCTATTAATGCACGTGGAGTGCCGCCGCTCATCTTTACCTGATAGCTGGTTCTAGGAGATTCTTTTAATTCAAAATCAAATTCAAATCTCAACGGCTTAAGTGGCGCTCCCTACACTACTAGATCGACGGAGTGGAAACGCTGCAAGTTGTACATTTAATTTGACATTACATTACATTCTACATGTGTAGAATACATGTAAAATTTGAACATAACATACATAACATACAAAAAGGAAGAAGAAGAAAAAAAACTCGTCAACAAGGAAGAAGAAAAACCTCTGCCGAAAATTGTTCCGCGGTATTTTAGCCACTTGCTGACAAGAGCTGCGTGCTATGAAGTACGAGCTGCTTTCTAATAACGGCAGGGGCGCTTTTAGCGGTCATCTTGAATTTAATTCCCGCCAGGTGGAGCTAGACTGTGGTTTTCTTAATACTTTTTTGTGGAGCTAAATAGCTATTTAAGCTATCTTAATTGAAAATACAATGCTGCAAATCGGACAAAATGAACACAAAAACCATTCTGTATATGCATGCACAATATCTTTTTGAATATGAAAAGAAAAGGACCTGTTAGCTGAAGGCTATACCCCTACCACAAGTTGGACTCGTGTGTTTATTAATAGGGCTATGATCTGAATCTGGTCTTATGTTTCCCCGGTTCCTATGGGCATAAATTAGTCCCAGCCCTCGCGGAACTCTACCTGCCACATCAACACCACATCCTTCTCGTGGTTCTGGCCTGGCATTGAAATTTGCGTGTGCACCTCGACCCACGCTGACCCCAAAAAGGAGCGGATGCTAATCGACTCTGACAAGCACCGCGCTGCGCCAGTGGATATAAAAGCGGCTGGCAGTGTCTGCCAATGCATCCACATCCCGAACAGCGTCTTGGCTGGCAGCTTGTCTTCAACCGGAACCAGTCGACTCCACCAAAGAGCTACTCCTGATACCCAAGATGGCCAACTCCAGCAAGACGCAAATGCTAGTCTCCGTGCTGCTGCTTCTGGTGTCCCTCTGCTGCTGGACGACCCACGGGGTGCCCAGCAAGCGATCCGGCAGGATTTGCGGCGACACACTATCCGAAGCCATGGACATGATGTGCCCAAACGGGTTCAATGCCCGCATTCCCCACAAGCGCGGCTTACGTGAGTATTCCATGGAAAACTACGACGGAAATGGCAGCTACTGGACTGGCTTTTCGCTTTTGGTTTTGTTTCGGTTTCGGCTTGCATCGATTCACATTTGCATCCTCCTCCTTTGCAGTGGATCTGTTCGATTACGTGGACCACATGGCCGGGACTGAGCCGGGACTGGATGATGCGAACACCGCTGATGATGCGGCGGCCGTGGGTGCGGTCCTGCCCGAGGGCGTTCGACTGCCCTGGCGGCACAGCTCCCTAATGTCCACCAGGCGCCAAATGCGCGGCATAGTAGACGAATGTTGCATCAAGTCGTGCACCTACAACGAGATGGCGGCCTACTGCAACTAAGGGGCACACAAGGAATACAGCACCATCCCCAACCCCAATCCCCCTCAACTAGAAGCTAAACAAATTGTTACGATATTTGATATACGTGTAGATAGAGAGAGACTCAAATGAATATATTATGATGCTCTCAAGAGCTGTTGCAAGAAAAAGGGAATTTAAATTGGATTGGCATACCCGAAAGCTGAGAAATATAAGAGAGGGGGGCGTCTGTGTTTAAAGAGACTGTCCGAGATGGACCTTAATGTGGAGCTGTGCACGAAAAGATTCCGATGCTTCTTTGGCTGCTTAAACATCTTAAAGACTCAAATTGAAGTACATGGCATCTGAAGTGGGTTTTTGTGTGTGATTATCATTGAGATATTTTGCCTTCTTTGCAGATAACAAGCGAGATAAATGTAAAGGCACAAAAATGTGGCAAACAATGTGATAACGAAAGATGTTCAAGAATGTGTTGACGATTTAGTTGAAAAGTTCCACTTAGAGGAAGGGAATGCTTCCAGTAGTGCCTTCCGAAACTAAATGCTCCCTTAAGATGTTGCTTTCTTACAGCTTTGACATTGAACTCGATGATAGATCCCCTGAAAACGCGGTCCCCCGCCTCGGGATGGCTGCTTGACGTCAACTTTAATTAGTTGATTAATTTCGACTAGTCACAAGTGTATTCAACAGACAGACACTTTCATTTGCAGAGCAGAGCACAAATAGAAATTCATTTCGTTGATTTCTGATTAAGATTTTGGCAAATATTTGCCCAGATAATTAACGAGTGTGGCCGAGTACTTCGTTGGGAAAGAGATTTATGGCCAGATGAGATTCTCTGATAAATACTTTTGGCACTTTTTTAGGAAAAGGATTAATTGAGTGGTGCCCCACGTCCCGTGCCCCATGCCCCGTGAATCAGCCACCCAATGAGTGGGCAGCGTCGGCAGCCAGTCAACGAGATGCATCACAACTTTTGGCTAGACGCCTGCCTCTTGTTTGTTGACATTGTTGTTGCACTTGTTGCAGTGGCTAGGGTATAGCGGGGGGGCAGGCAAACGGTGCCCAATTTGGTTCGTGTGACTCATTCGACTTGCTGACGTTTCGCTTTACTTAGCAGCCCCCCTGTACTGCCAGTGCTGCCTGTACTTCCCCTGCTGCCTGTACTGCCTCTGCTATGTGTTTTACGGGTTATATAAAATCGTATCTTTAAGATTCACGTACATTTTGAATGGCAGTTGAATGCAAGTTGCTCCGGGGGCACAGCCAGACCCTGGCTCAGCTGTCTCTTGGCAAAAGTTTACCCTAAATGGGGGAAACACCTCACACGAACACACGAGCACACACACACGAGCACGAGCACACACGCACACGCGAATGCGTTTGAAAGTTTTAGGTTTTTTTTTTGGTAATTAAATTGCCAGCTACTGTTGCCTGTTTTGCTGCTGCTGTTGCACACGTTTTGTCGCACGCATAGTCCCCGTATAACTGAAAGCCACTTAAAGTTTTTGCTCACCCGAGCAGATCTCAGCAGATCTTAGGTGGGTCCCCCAGGGGGATTGGTGGGCGGGGGAGGGGAGCGCCAGGCCGGTTTATTTAAACAACAATTGCAAACAACAATGACAACGATGATAGTGTTGTTGCAGCAGCAGCAGCAGCACCAGCCACAAATACTCGCACACTTTCAAGTCTAAAGCATCTTTGAGATACGCGTCGCAGTCGCTGCTGCTGCTGCTGTCGCTGCTGCTGCTGCTGCTGTCGCTGTCGCGGTCGCTGCTTGTAAAGCTTTTTGGTAATTACAATTAAACGTCAAAGCATTTAATTGTGGAGGTTGTCTCTGTGTCGCCTCTCTGTGCTTGAGGGAGAGCCACAACAAATTGGTGTAGCTGTAGCTGTCGCTGCTGCAGTCACCGCCGCCGCCGTCGCGCTGCAATGAGCATGGCTGTCGCCCCCTCTCCACACCATATTGATGTGTTTTTGTGCACCTGTTCTTTGGGGGGCAGCCAGCATAATATATGCAAGTATACGAAAGAATAACAGCTACGTAGATATACAGTCCACCCCAAAACCCCATGTCCATGCCCCATGCCCCCGCTTCGCTATCTTTTTATGGGCACTTTTCATCAGCCTTTGGCTCTTCCCTTTCATCTCGTCTATAAAATTATGCATTTAAATGTTTAATAATCATTTCATTTGAGTTCAGCGCCACACGCCCAAACCACTACTCACCCCTCGCCGCCAAAGGCCTTTAGTTCGCGATTCAACGTGGCCTTGACGTTGTCCTGGGAGTACAGGCCCATTGGGGAGTTGAATTGCTTGTGCACCAGCTTCCTTTGTAGGGCGGCCATTTTGATCTCGTTCTCTCGGCTTTCTCTTCGTTGCTGCTTCTGCTTCTGCTTGCTGTTTGACTTTGGCTTTGGCTTTTGTTCACTTCTTTTTAGTTTGCTCTCTTATTTCTCTGCTGTTGCTGTTTGGGTTTCTTCAAAAAGTTTTTCGAAAAATATTGTTGATAAAAAATATTTTTTAAAATTTTCTGCCCCAAACTTCTGTGTGGAACTTGGATCCGCTTATCGTTTCAAGAGTGGTTTACAAGTTGTTGCACATTTTGTTGGTGTTCTCTGGTTGCTTGTTGCTGCTGTTGTTGTTGTTGTTGTTCGCAAAAACAGAATTCCAAACACTTTTCAGTTTTCCCCCACTTCAGTTTCTGTTGGACTTAATGTTAATCGTTAATTGTCGGTCGTTGTTCGTTCTGTAATTGAAAATGCAAAAAAAGGGAAACTGAATGAGTGCGGGAGCCGGCATTGGGAATGAGAAGCAGGAATTTAATTTGTACAAAAGTTGATGGAAGGAATACAAGTTTAATCGGGGATTGTCTTTGTGAGAGAGCGCTGCCACACAATCCGTATTGTTTAATACTCAGACTACAGACTTTACTTGTGCATTTATAATTTTTTAATGATAATCGAACGTTTGCAGTGACATAAGTCAGTAGTCGGACAACACTCAAGGAACATGGGAAATTTCAGCGAATTTTAAAGCATATGCACGACCCGACAAACAGGAGGCAGTGGCACATCATTATATCGACACAGCTATTGACACTTGCCAAGGCTGAAACGAATTCACTCTCAACATTGAAAGCACCTGGCTATAAATTATATTTTTCACAATTCAAATATTTAAATTTATTTAAACCACAAACACGTCTGTGTTGCAGTTGTAAATAAATCAATTTAATTAAGAGATACGTATGTACATATGCATACATCCATAAAAAAACCACTGTTTTTTATTTAATAATATATTAATATATCTTAATTTGGAAAATGAAGTATATATATACATTGTATACATTGTCACATAGTCGCTTTAAGCAGACCAGCAGCATGCTAGAGTTTTTTGTGGAATTTTTGCTTGAAATATGTTAACATTTTTGACATGCACAACGTGTGTTGATTGATTGATTAATGATGAGAAATATAAAGATTTTGTTAAAAAAAGTTAAACAGAGAGAGAGAAAGAGAGCGCGATAATTGGGTCAAGAAAACTCGCTAGACTTTTCCAACAAAACGAATACAATTTTAATTTATTTCCAGACAGCAGCACTAAAACACTTCAATGTCAACACACGCTAAGACGATCAAAAAGAAGGCTATAGTATGTATATATATTTCATATACGAATTGTGTTCCAATTGTCGAGAATTATTTCAATCTGCTCCGATTTTACAGCTGTTGCTCACAAATTACATACAAAATAAACTCTCTTTCTTGTAGATACGAGAATATACTATGACTAGATTAATTTTTCCAATTTGCTGCGACTCACTCACTTCTGTCACATTGAAAAATGTATCTTAAACTAATTTGAGAGCACTGCTGGCTGGGCAAAAAAAAACAAAACGGAACAAAAATTATATAGATATATTATATGAGATTTTGTGTTGTTTTTGGGGTGCCTAAAAATAGAGGCAAAGACAGCGGCAAAAAATATTGAAATGTGCTCAATTTTTTTTTTGCTCATACTCATATTTTCCACACACACTCGAGTCGAGTCGAGTCGACTCGATTCAGATGGTATCTTCTCTCAGTCTCTACATATTCGCCCCCTCTCTCTCTGTCACTGTCTTTCTCTGTCTCTCTATCTATCTGTCTGCTGTTTTGCTCTATTTTGAAATTCCCGCCTTGTGTGTCACCTCAAATAAAATTAGCAGCTGTGAGGAAAAGGCAAAGATATTATTGTTCAGATTTGCGTCATTTCCACTGATGTATATCCTCGCGTCGACGGAAAATGTATGAAAATAATAATCAGCGAAGGAATATCATCATCAGAGAAGGATAGAGAGTGACAGAGAGACGGCAGAAGAAGGAGAGTGAGAGAGCGGGCTGCCCGTTGAATGGAAAATGCAATAAAAGACACTTGAAATAATCGTAATGAAGTATTTTTGTGTGTTTGTTCGCATTTTATGCGTTTTAATTGAGCTGCTTTTGCTTTTGGCTTTGCCTCGGCCGCGGTTGCATGCCACGTTGAGGCAGCTGCCACACAGCTGCTGCTGTTGCTGCTGCTGCTGCTTCTGTGGCAATCGGGGCACCCGGAAACGGCAGCCAAGAATCGCACAAATTAATCAACATTTAATAAAATATTATGCAAATTACAGCACAAAAGGCAGGAAGGCAGTGCCAGTGGCTGAGCGGCATGAACGGCATGAACGGCAAGAGCTTGCCACTTGATGTCCCAATTAAAGTTTAACACAACCCGCCACACACTAACACACACAGCTCCCACTCAACACACACACACACACAAATACGTAGATATACACATGGAAAGCCGAACAGGTGCGTGCTGCATTCTATGTACTTAGCACAGGAATTGTAAGAGAATTTGCATAAAAAATGCTCACTAAAATAATGTTTCAACAGAAAAAAAAGAGAAAAGTTAAACGTGAGTATTGTGTGGAACAAAGGGGGAGCGTGGGTTGGGTGAGACATGTGGGTGGGGGTGCCATAGAAACAATATTCTTCCACCTATACCATATGCCAATGCCAGCCCACTCAAGTGTAGCAGTTCCCATACTCTTTTCGGGCCAGTAATCTCCATGACATTATGCGATTTGGTTTTCTAATTGAAATACATATTTCATGAATCTCTCATATTAGATTTAAGTTATTCTGCCTCAATTGTATTGTGCTATTTAAGACTAAAATGTAGAAGTTTCACGAGAGAAGAATACTTGGAATAGCACTAAGAAAATTCACAAAGCAGAGGATCCAGTTTCAAGTGCAGATCCTTCTTTGATTTCAAAGCACTTATTGTACCATTTCAGTAGCGAATTATGATCAGGATCTTTGGAATAAATCCCCATGGAAGAAATATCCCTAAAATGCAGTTGCACATTCTATAATCCTCCTATTGAATCCGGGGTAGAAGTTTTGTACCCTTCATTTATATAGATATATTAACATTTTCCCTCCACGAACTATTAAAGATCTGGGTTATATATAAAATACAGCATAAACTTGCAGAAATACCTTTAAAATTCTTCTAGAAATTCCTTGCCTATTTTATGGCTGTGTTTCTGGCAAACCTTGACTAAAGTTTGCCTCAAAACCAACACAGACGGACACTCGCTGCGGCTGTTTTAATTAATTTATCATAAAATTCTGTTTATTTCGGCTGTGAATTTAGTTAGGGTATGAGGTATGAGGACTTTCGCGCTCTCCTAATTAACATCTCTCTTCTGTTCTCTTTTTTCCGCGCTGTGAGTTCGTTTCGGCAGCACCAGCAGCATCGACATCATTATCATCGCTCGCCTCGACTCCATGGGGCATGTGTGAGTGTGAGTGTGGGTGTGGGCGTGGGCGTGGGTCGTGGGCGGTTGCTATATAAACTATAATCATGGCTATATGTATATCCATGGTGTGTCTGTCTGTCTGTCTGTGTGTGTGTGTGGATTGAAATCAGGTGCAAATATTGTTAGATTTTGCAAATCTGTGTGTCGACGACGCATCTGTGTATCTGAGTGGAGAAGGCTGCCTGGTTGCGGATTGCGTATCCCAAATCCCCAAAAACTGGCTAAAAGCGGGCGGGCAGATTGTTAGGCGGGGGCGGGTGCGGGGTGGCTTTCACGCTTGCCTTGATGTTTGCCAGGTTTTCCCGACTGGTTCTTGCTGATTTAATTATTAACGGACAGCATTGTGTTCCTGATTTTGTTTTAGTTGGATCGTTTAAATATTGCATTTAGCTTCTAGCTAGCTCTCTCTCTTGGGAGCTCCATGGGTGCTCCGTGGGGTTGTGGACGGGGAGGGGGGTACACTAAAGTACACTAATATTCAACAAATAAACACAGGCACAAACAGGCACGAGGGTGTTGGGGAAATACATATTTATTTGTTTTAATGTGAGTGAGTGGGTGTGGGTGAGTGGGTGTGGGTGAGTGGGTGAGTGGGTGTGGGTGAGTGGGTGAGTGTGATTGGATGGGTGCTTACCGTCTGTTACAATTTGGCGCTGCTTAATCCAAAAATAACGCCAGAAAATTGCCAAAGTTCGCTCCAAGTGGCTTCGACCGCTCCTCCTGCTCGTGCGACCCTATCGCGTGTACGCGACCCCGTCCGATTCGACCCGCCCCCCGCGTTGCAGTTTGCAGTTTGCACTTTCACCGCCAAATTGCATTCAATACTCTTTTCCCTCAAGAGTGGCTGTCGGTTCGTGTCTGTCCGTCCGCGTGCGAGAGCGTTCAATTGCGGTGTAGGTGTGGGTGTGGGTGTGGGTGTGGGTGTCGGTGTCTGGGAGCGCGTGCCCGTCCGCCGCCAGCCGGCGTTTTGTAAGCGCACCATCGGCGAACTGAAACTGAAACAGCGCCAGAAACTCAACGAGAACCGAGGAAAAACTTTACGCAATGATCACTGGCTGGCGCTTGTTTTTTTTGTTGTTGCTTTTTCATCAGTCTACATTTTCACATCTTCGTGGATTGGGTACCAGACGCAAAAGCAGCAGCAGAAGCAGAAGCAGAGGAACGAGCTTCGGGGATAGCTGTAAGTACAATCATATGCGTGTGCGCGAGCGAGATAGTGCGTGCCGTGGGAGGGGTGAGCGAGCGGGGCGTAAAGGCGGTGCGGTGCGTTACACTGGCGGTCATAACAAAGTGCATTGGCCGCATATATGAATATGAAATCGGAGAGCGTCAATGAATGGGGCGAACAAAAATTAATTAAAACATATTTATGGCCAAAGCGGAACTGCTTACGCACTTCAGATGTGGCAGACTGACTTTTATTACCCAATTAATAACCAGCGCCAGCAGCAAATTTAATTATATTAAAGCCCATTTGGCAGATATTCAAGAAGAGGCTTGCCAAAAAGCAGACAAAACCTGTCAAGGTAAATTTCAAAAGGAAAATGCAAATGCTAAAGCCATCTGGGTGACTAGCCCCGCCCGGGATTACGAGTAATTCCAACTGAATCATCAGCCATTCCTGGTGGGGGTAACAGGTACACCTTTTATCGCACGCCACTAGTGTGTCAGTCAGCCCCCCACATTTATACGAAATCTCTATGCAAACACCCCAACAAAAACCAGCAACAAGAACACTCAATGATAGTTTTGGTGAATATCTTTGAGAGCCGACACCAACCAGCAGCAACAAAAAATGAGCAAAAAAGTGAAATATAAAAAAAACATTTGGTTGCCGTCGATGAACGACAAGTCGGCAACGCGACGGAGACAGGGCCCAGGGAAACAGCGGAAAGATGGATAGAAACTACACATTCGTATTCGTATCTATAGATTGTATAGATGTCTATGCAGGTCGCCTGGCCTGGCCACGGACCCGGACCCGGCCCCGGCCCCGCCGACTATTACAGAATTTTTACTGCCGCGTCCGAGAGCACGTCTCTAATATTCTATTTTTGAGTGTAGTTCTTCTTTTCTAATTTTTGTCTTCTTTTTTTTGTTATTTGTTGCGTTTTTGTATTGGATTTTGGTCTTTCTGGTCTCTCCACGTCCACGCGGGGCAGCACACGATTTTGCCCCGAGTTTTTCGGGGTAGCAATTTCCACACACGAAAATAGCAGACAAGAGTCCATATACTCGTAGAAAGCGGTTGAAGCATGAGAAGAAAATTCGCTTAAAATGTCATTTAATTGTTTCACTTGCAAAATGGGAGTGTGTGTGTGTATTTTTTTGTTTCTTCTCTTTGGTATTGCCAGTTTCTGGCTTTTCGGTTATTCGGGCTTTCGGGTTTTCCGCTTTTCTCGCGGTTGAAGTTGATTTTCATTTGGCAGAGCAAAGCCTCATTTTGGCTTCACTTTTTAATTGTGCTTTAAATGCTAATTAGCTTTTGTGCGCGCATATCGGTTGATTCCATTCCGCTTTAATGCACTTTATTTAATTAATTTTTGATGTCGCATATACGATGGCGCCTATGCGGCCATAGGGATCGGGAACGGGATCGGGAGTATTTCCCCCCTAACCATTATTCTTTTGTGTCGCATTTTCGGGGCATTTATTTTCGTTGGCGCCTCGTTTTCAATTTGGCCTGTCCGCAAAGTACACTGCACCGCACAACAAACATGCACACATACACATACGCATACACACACACACATATACACGCTGCACTTTTGGGGGGAAGCAGAACAGGGCAGACAAACAGTCGTACCGTACCGGGGACTCGGAAGCTGAGACTCGACTCTGAACACGTCCGCGGTGCGAATTATTATTGTTACTCGGTCGCTCGGTGGCTCTCGACGCATGCCACAAAAAAGTTCGCGAAAGCAGCGAAAGTTCCTCTTGCTCTTTGGATCGTCTTCTTTCATGGAAAATGGAAAATGATGACACACATACAGAACGAGATGTATTAGTGTGCCTAAGGGGCCCCAGTCCCTGCCCAACGCCCACTCGCACACACTCACATACTCGCATTCTCGCAGCCGCTTATAAATTAGTTCGAATAGCCACTGGCTAATCACGTATTCTTCCACACAGAACCCAACCCCCCTCCCGCCAATGGCAGCCAAGTCGAAGAAACGATAAATATTCAACACTCACACTCGAACAAGAGAGTATGTATGTACATATGTATGTAGTGGGGGTGCGCTAAACCACCTAATTAACTACAAAACAACGATTCGATATATGTACTAGATTGCCCCACCTATGGATCTATATATACACACACTTGTGGGCCACACAAGCATGAATATTTATATGCATGTTTTTCTAAATATTAAACATTTATTTTTGGACTTTTGGAAAGCAATTTTAAAGCAGCTCGCATACCCTAACGAATGCTTGGAGTCCCACTGATTCGCTGTGCAGGCGGACACTGCTATTTGCAGCCTACTTACAACCGTTACTGTGGTGGCCATACTTTCGGGGAGGGTACTGTCTGGTTGGGTAGCATTCGCCGTTCATGCTGGAAGCTTGAGCCGCTCTCATACACACTGCTCATTCTCTTAAGCTAAGAACTACCAAAAACAATGAAGAGCAATAAAGTGCATCGAAGTGACTCACAGTAAGCCACAGAAAACAATTTCAATTCGCGTTGTTTCATGACCAGCATTAGACAAGCGTCTATCAATACAAATTTGATATTTTTTGGTTCGTTTCAGTATGTATTTTGCTTTGTTTTATTTTGTTCCACTTCGTACGTGTGTATGTGTGTGTGTGTTTGGTATATTTAGTTTTTATTTGCTTATATTTTTGGAAATTTTGTTTTGCCATCAAGAACAGGAGAATCGGTAAACAGCAACAACTTAATACCGTTATTTTGCGCTGTGCTGCCTCTTCCACTCTCTCTTGCTCTCTCTCTCTCACGCTTGATGGTTTGATGAAGCGCATTCGCATTTCACAAGTTCATGTGCTTTCGGTTCGTTCAAGCACAACAATTAGTGCATCGAAAATGTTTCCACGCCATTCTCCCCCTTCACTCTCTTAATCCCCCTCTCTCCACGCCTGATGCTCGGACATACGAAATTTAACCCATGCACAAAAAAGCTCATTCGGCAGAGAACACCTGACAGGCAACTAAGCGGCCTGCCTGCCAGCCAGCCCCCCGCTCGAAGCTCTCCTGCACTCATCGCCGCTCTCCACACGCTCCTATCTCCCCCTCCTCACTGTTCGTTTTGCTTTAGTATTTCACGCTAGAAAGCCAACCAAAAATAATATGTTTAATGTTTGTGAATGATTAATGGTACATTAGAATTGAAATTGTTTTTGGTCGAAGCGGAAAAGGCAGCGGAATCAGCAGAAGAATCAGCCATACCCTACAGCCTCAGCCTCAACCGTGCTAAGCGCAGCAGAGCAGTCAGCATATACATACATATGTACATTGCCGTAATGTGCAAATATTTATATGCCAAATGGCCCCCAAGACCCTCCTCCTCTCTTCAGAAACTATATACTTAGAATATGTACGTACATATGTATGTATGTATGTTTGTATGTGCGCTACCAGCTGGCTTCTGGCTGCTGCCTGAGTGGAACAGGTGAGTGTTTATAATGTATCGCATATGCATGCCAAAAAATAAGAGAAATATTCTGCAAATATGCGAATACGTGTGTGTATTTACATACATATGCAAAGATATATACTCACATGGATTTGGTGTATTATTTTGGCTGCCAAGTGTCCTTGGGGGCCGCCACCATGCGTTATGATGGAGAGTCAGACTCCCCCGCAGTCTCAGTCCTGAACCGAACCGAACCCAACTGAACTGAAGTGAACCGCAACGCATCGCATCGCATCGCACTGAGCCCCAACCTGCAAACCCCAATTCCAGTTAAAATCCAAAACGAACTTTGCCAAATTGCAAAAGCCACAAAACCAAAACATTTCGTCGCCTGCTGCTGAAGTTTTGTGCTGCTTCTTCTGATGCTTTTTCTACTGCTGCTGCTCCTTCTGCTGTTCCTTCTTCTGGTGCTGCTGCCTGTTGCCTGCCTCACGTATTGTCAAGGGGGCCAACAGAGTCCCAAAAGAAACTTGAAATACATCCAAACACTCACACACTGGGCAAACATTTTGTGGATTCAAGGCAAGGCTCACATTTGACAGATTGAAGCTCAACCTGTATCATTATTTGTCCCCTTGACTGACAAAACTCCTGCATTTTATTCTCCTTATTATGTTAATTTCACAATCTATTTGTCTTAAGCATTTACTTTTCTCTCAGTGCACCGAAACACACTTGGGGCCAAAGAGTTGGCAGAAATTTCTTAATAAACTTTAATGACTGCGGAGCTGGCATGTGTTGTCTTGTGTTTGTCACTTTGGCTTTGGGTTTTGGCTGCAAGTGCAACTTTGATGGACTCGGATAACCTAGGATGGCCGTGGCGCCTCGAATTATGCAACAACTTGTCGGTAAAGTACTTTTGACTACCTGCAGGCGGCCAACAAATTCGCCTGCCAGGCATAAAACGAAGGAGGAGGCCGTTTGGCTTTCGCCTATAATTTACTTGACCATCACGTACCAAAGTCACGCACGCCCCCTCGTCTGATTGCAGGGGGGCGGCTGGGGAACAGAGAGAGAGAGAGAGAGAATAGGATGGACATCATGCAACAAGCTTTGGGGGTCAATGCGAGACAACTCATGCATTACTTATGATACGACCCGAGGATGGATACAAGGTATCTTAGTTGCCATTTGTGGCATGTTCTGAGATACTAAATTGGAAAGATTCAAATCAAATTCAAATCAGGCAACGGCAGGCTCCCCCAATCATTTGCATTTCGATTGACTTTCGGTACACACATTGTTGTAGTGGTACGAGTAGTAGTGCAAATCGAATATGTATATAATTAATCTGGGATCAATTCTGCGCTGCTGCGCCTTTCTAATGGGGAAAACTAAGCTGTTATCGGGAGTGTGTGCGCTGCTCCCTGGGGGGAGAATTCTAATGCCTTTCTGCCTAAGATTTATCTTGGAAATGTCTTTCCTTAATGGTTTTGTGGGGGCACTTTAAAGGTCTTTCTAGGTATGTGATAGAATGTGAAATTTACTACGAATATCCTTGCTAATGGATGTCATTGATCCCTGAATATTATGGCTATATTTTATGAACGCTTACCCACGATCTTTCTCATTCTTGCTTTCTTCAATTTGCAGATATCCTCTGCGTTTTCTTGGCGAAATGGTCATCCAGAACAGCACCCCATAAACTACACCATCCTCGGCCGTTTCCGTATCCGCATCCCACATACGTTTCGGTATCGGTATCCGTGTACCCATACCCATATGCAGGTCGCCGCGCTCCCAACATAGTGAGACGTGAATGTTCCTGCCTGCTTGGCTTGACTCTTCGCCTTGGCCTCTTCTTTATGCGATACGATGCGGTTTTTGCGCCTTAATGGTCTTGGCCCATAAAAAAAAAGGAGGGAGGGGCCTCTCCCCATTGGACGCGTAACCAGAGCCGAACGTGGACGATGAAGAAGGCCTCGTTTACCGCACTGGCAATCGCTTTATTTAACTGCCGGACTTGTTTGCGCCAAATTAACACATTTATTTATGCCCACAATTTGTTGCTTAAATATTTATTGAAAACCAGAGGGGCGAAAATGAGGAAAACCAGAGGGAAAGCGAGAGAGAGGAGTAACATTAAAAATTTTTCGTTTATTTCATATACAATAAGTACACGTACACACACACATAAACATATGATATACATAATAATACTCGTACATACATACCAGTATCCCATATCCCCATATCCATATCCATATTCATATTCTTCCAATACACAAACACATATACATATACATATATATGTATATATAGTATACTTATACACAAATACATATGCAGAGACGATTCTTTGTAGTCATATCACACACACAAACGATATGGCCCACACACTCATGGCATGGCACGGCATGGGGGGGGCGCGGCTCGCACATGGAGCATGGGGCATAATTGAGAGTAAATTAGCGCTATATTTGTATATAGGAATTGCTGAGCCAGTGAGCGGCAAGTCATCCTCGTCCTCCATTTACTTTCTGGAGGCATCTCTCCGTTCCTACCCCCCACTTTTTGATATGTTCTGGCTTAAACGAGAACGCTTAAATTCGCTGGTTGCGGCAATTGCTGCTGCATTGCCTGCTATTGCTGCTGTTGCTGCTGCTGCTGCTATCCCACAACATCCTTTGCAGGCCATAAAAAAGAGCACCAAGAACACCGAGCAGACAGCACCACGACTGTGGCATCGCGGACATGGCCGCCCGGCCCTGCAACGGCAGCTGCTGCTCCTCCAGGCACAGCCGGAACTCGTCGTAGTCCAGGCGCGTGATGGCGCAGTAATGATTGAGCATGCACAGGCCCTGGCAGGGCGTACCCGACTGATATCTCACGGCATTGGCTCGGTGGTATCTGCAGATGAGAACAGAAAAAAAAACAAAACAAAAACAGAGCGAGTATCAAGTTGGGATGGCATAATAAAGCAGAGGGTATCGTGTTGGGAGCTACCCTGGAATAGTTTTTCTTTCCACTTAAAGCTTAAATTTTTCAAAGAGAATATTGCTTTGTTTATCTTTTCAGAGTTCTTTCAGCTCATTTTACTCCATGGAATCCCATGGGAACTCTATTAAGTATTCTATGATACCAATATTCCCTGCTGGCTTACTGACAGATTACTGAGTGCACTCCAATCAACGGCAAAAAGACAGCTATAATTGCTGTCCAAACATTTACCTGGTGAACCAGGAGGCATCGGTGCCCGTGAAGCGCTCCGCAAAATTGTGCAACGCCAGGGCGGAGATCTCGAAGAGGGCGTAGTAGTGCGTCAGATTGTACTCGGGCTGCCAGAGCGGCTCCTGGGCCCGATTGGCTAGCTGCAGGTCTAGCCAGAACTGGGTGTAATCCAGCACCTGGCCGCTTCCCGTGTCAAATTTGTACAGCCGCAGGGCCGGATTATTGGATGCGCCGATGCCTGCCTTTCGTGGCACAATCGAGGGGGCAATCATCAGCCACGAGATGGGGTGGCCTGTCAATAAATCAATTTGAGGGAGTTGGTTTTAGATGCAGCTAAAGGTTAGACGAACAGAATTACTGTCAATTAGGGAGGGGGTCTCTGGCTGTACCTTGGGCATCGTAGAACAGCCGAAAAGTGTCCGAGTGCAGGTGGCCAAAGAACTGTCCCTGGATGACCGAGGCGAAGCGACGCACGATCTCCAGATACCGTCGGTTGTTGCGCTCCGTGAAGATTAACTGGTTGTGCTGCTGCGGTCCCAGGTGACGCTCGTCCACGCCCGGCGGCATATGACCCACGATGTAGACCTGGTGTCAGCCACAGCCATACAGATAAATTGCATTCGTTGTAAGTCAGCCAGCAAATTAAATATAACAATTAATCAAGCAACCAGTGCGCCGCTATCCGATTTTATTCATGCAGCTGACACGAGTGTGCACTGCACATACATATATTTACGAGTATTTACGAATATCTGCGTGTGGAAAATCCCTTTAAATATCTTGTTAATATCGGACAGATTTCAGCATTCGCATTACAGGCTGTAATTTTTAAATTGATGCATAAAATTCGACATTCAGATGAAGGCAGAGAGCCACAGGAAACGGGAAATGCAGCGAATAAATTTATACATTTATCTATAAAATTGTTACAGGTAGGTTACTCGAACTCGAATTATTTGACTTCCATTTGCTTCCTGTTTTGCTGTGATTTCTCTCAATATTTCAGCCTTTAATAAGCCCGCTCGGAGTGAACTAAAAATCCCTAAAACTTCCCTTCGATAGATTGAGCCTTATTTAAATAGGATTCCTGGGGTTTATTTTGCGACACAATTAATAAGGATTTTCCTGATTCAGGTTCAGGTATAGAAGTCAAGGACATTGCTACCTCTTAACTATGATCCTTCTTCAGCCATTTACCCAATCTGAGGACCCTTAATTACCGTTTCCTGTTTATCCCGCGACTTGGTGAGCACCTCCTCAAGCCACAGCCACTGCTGCTCGGCCAGCACCTCCTCCTGGGCGGACATGGAGCTGACGGATGCCTTGGGCTCTGCATAGTACTCGACCGGCCAGCGCAGGCTGTGCGATGCCCTGGCATCGGGCGGGTCGTGGTCCAGACGCATGAAGTTCGTATTGAGGGCAACGATGCGCAGGCGGCTCTTTGTCTGCTCGATGGAGTAGTAGCCGCCCTGGTCAAAGGTCACCAGTGCCTCCGAGGGCAGCCAGTGGCGCCAGAGTTCGCCCATCTTCTGGTGGCTGCCGCTGCCGTCCTCGTGCCCCAAAACCGGAAAGATGAACTGCGAGGAGAAGCTGCGTCCCAGCAGGTCCGTGATGTTGCGCAGAATCTCGTGCTGCTTCTGCTCGGACAGCGGCTGGGCGGAGTGCGAGAGGGCATCCCCGGTCCAGAGAACAAACTCCACATTGTCGCCCTGCTTGGCCTTCATGGTCTTCACGGCGGACTCCACCAGGCTCCAGGGACTGTCGCAGTTGTAGTGCCCAAACAGTCCGGGCGCCTCACTGGCAGCATTCGCATTGGAGCCCGAACTGGCGCTGGAGACGGGCCGCTCCAGCTGCCAGCAGCTTCGGTAGATATCCCCCTGGGTCGAGTAGATGGTATCCAAGTGAAGGTCGCTGATGTGCCAGAAGTAGCCTGCAAGCAGAGAGGGAGAGCGGGAGAGAGAGTGAGAGTGAGAGAGAGTGAGTTTCAGAGAGAGAAGAGATTAAAGTTTCTGTTGGCTGGGCTGGGCTATTCCTGTGCGGGAAAGGCCACCACCCCCGCGTTGGGCATTTGCCTGCCGGCTGGCGGTGAAAACCAAAAAAAAAAAAACATCGTGTAGTTTTCCCTGCAGCTGAAAAACAAACTCAGTTGACTGACCTGAGCCGCAAAACTGATCCGCTCTACGCTCTCAACGCTCAACGATCTACGCTCTACCTGTGTGGGTGAGGGAGGGGAGTTCGGAGAGTTGTCGTGTGAGGCGAGGCAGCGGAGAGGAGATCAGTTTCAGTTGGCATTGGCATGCGCATAGATCGATCAACCGGACACAAGTCGCATCACAGGACAGAAGCGGACGACGACAGGACGACGGGCAAGAACAGTGGTATCCTTTCATGCCCGTCGCAAGCACGAGCAAGATCCAGAACCATAGCAGCAGCTAGATCCGGAGACAGAGCCGAGCCACACGAGCAGGATGAACGGACGCTTCGGTCTCAGTCTGAGCTTCAGCCTGTCGCTGCTCCTTGTGGCGGCAACCATGTCGCAGATGCTGCAGCAGGTCCACGGCCGGAGGAAGTTCTGCGGCGAGGCCCTCAACGAGGCGCTTGACCTGATTTGCGTTAACGGCTTCTCACGCAGGATCAAACGCAACAATTGTAAGTACCATTAAAATATCCCTCCCGTCCCCTCCCCACCCCACCTTCCAATCAATACACGATACTGTTGCCCAACTAACTCCCAGTCTCAAGTGGTGCAGGCCCTGAATCCGAGTACGGACCGATCCCAGCGTGGCTCGTCCCGTAAGTGGGTCGCCCTGCTACACAAATTGGACGGAATTGCTGGCAAGGGAACGGCTACACCAGGCGGCGGAAACAATGGACACAACCTGCGTCGTCATCGTCGCCGCATCGCCCACGAGTGCTGCAGGGATGGCTGCACCTACGAGGACATTTTGGAGTACTGCGCCTAGCCCACCAAACGGGCGAGGAGAGCCTATGATACGATGATGAGAGATGATGACTGGCGGCGGCGGTGGGGCAAACGAAAGAAGAAGAAGAAGAAGAAGAACAGCAACAACAACAAAACACGATGACAACACAACGACAAACAGGACGACAACGGGGCAGCGGGACGGACGATGTGGATGGAACTTCCCATTGGATGCCAACCGGAAGGCGTTTTGCAAATCATTTTCCTACACTTAACCCTAAATATATATAAAAAAAAAACAAAACAAAACAAAATATAAACCTAATAATATCTCAAATATTTCATTGTAATATTCTTAAAGGAAGCAAATAAAGTTACTCTCCCTATCAAGCAGCAGCAACAAAAGAAACTGCCTTTTGCTTTTTGCCTTTTTGCTGTTTGTCTTGTGGCAGCGAGCATTCCAGCTGTGCAGTGAACACCCTACCTCCCTGCCCCCGCAAAAACCCAACGAAACACCCAGCCGTAGCTCCATCAACGCGCTGCCCTTGTGCTCGTATTCCGGGAACAATAATGAAAATTATGAATTTTTAATTAGATGACGTTGTGATTTTAATAAGAAAAACAAAAGGAAATACTCGTACTGTGCGGATGGCAATGAAACCAAAGAGAGGAATACACTCGACCAGCGTTTCCCCTTCGATTGCAGATACTTGAAAGATAGTTATGGGCTGCTGCAGACACGAAAGGGGAGCAAGTGATTCCTCTCTTTCAGTGTTGTGTAGCTTCAAGTCAGTTGTCTGCAGACATTTGCAGCACTCGTACTCAATGTGGGATGGCAGGCATAGCTCGAATATGCATTCATTATATTCTTAGCCCCCCAAAACTGACTCACTCAGAAAGCTCTCAGTATTCCAAATTAATTAGTTTTCAGCACTGGGCAATGGTTCACTGCTCCTGCTTTAAGCCGCTCCAATAGTTGTGTAAGCTCCTCGATAGTAGAGAACTTTGTGCGCATCATCTTGTTGTTCGTTCGTTTGTTCGGCAATCAAGATCCGTGCGTAATTATTTGTGCGGCAGTGTAAACAAAAGACCAGACCACAGCCCCCGACAGCGTCAGCTGATATGCGTAAGAACTCTCCCAGGCAGCAGCAGCAGCACCACCCACACCACCCACCACTCAGACAGTGGGCTGTGGGCGCACAACACATGAAGTGAAGGGATATAAACAACCCACACCAAAATCAAAATCGAAACCAAACAGCACCGAACAGAATAGAACAGAATGGAGCAGAAACAAAGCGAAAGTAGACCAGACTATGGCCAGACCAGACCAGTCGCCGGAGAGAGCCAACTGAACTGACACATCATCTAACGCAGCCTGACAGTGCTCAGACAAGGGACTACGAGGAGCAGCCTTCTGATCCGGATTCGGTTTCATATAAAGCTCGCCAGCGGCACTGGGAGTCCTACAGTTGTGGCGTTGCACGTTGAGAGGCACCTACACTTTTGCAGCATGCGGCAGACCAAGTCGAAGAGCTTACTCGTCCTCGTCCTAAGCCTCATGGTGATGGTGGTGATGGGAGAGCAGCCAAAGATGTTTTTGTGTGGCACAGAGCTGAACGATGCCCTGTCCACGATGTGTGGCCGACATGGCTATAACCGGATGCTCAAGCGGTCCTTCGGTGGGTGTCCAATCCATTTCCAATTGATCTTCTTCGCTATATCTTCTTTTGGGTTTTCCTTCCAGATCCGACGGACTACAATGACATCGAGGGTAGGTTTGGACTGGCCCGAATGGACTTTGACGAACGCTCCCTGCTCCATCGAATGTTTGGCGAGAGCGCCGCTCAGCTGATGAAGACGCGGCGTCGCCGTGTCGGGGTCTCCGACGAATGCTGCCTGAAGTCGTGCTCCCTGGGAGAACTCCTCAACTACTGTGCCAAGCCGCCTGGGCAGTATGAGGGAAACTGATAATGACAATGATATCGGCAGCTAATGGATGGGACTGAATTTCCCGGAATGAATCTCTGTATATCGGCAGTAGTCAGATATATGTACCTACATACATATATGTATTTTAATTATTTATTATCGGACATGGGAGACAGGGCTGATAGCATGTATGTTTGTATGTATTACCTATGGGGCCATGAAATATTCCACCTCTCTATAATTAATAAATAAATAAATATCCATTCAAACGGCTGCAGATTGGCAATTAAATATTGGCTACACAATGATTATTGCACTCAATTATTTATTAAGCATTTAGGCGATGGCATATCATATCACAGCATATGCAAATAATGATGCAAATATTCAAATGGATTACCCAAATATTCATAAAACAAAATTATACCTACAGAATTATTGGGGAACGGGGAAACGGAACAGTCCAAGCGATGCATTGATTTTTCCAAAACTTGATTCATTTATTTTCGATGTAGTTTTAGTTAGAGTTCATTTATTTTCTGCATCTTTTTGTCTTCCGAATTTCAGTGTTATTTTACACACTTAAATGTACGAATTGCTTTCAATATTATCTCGAAGCTTCAATAAGAAATAGGAAAGGAATACGGGTAACACAGCATCTCAGGTATCTCAGAATTCGATGGTCCTGGTTGGCTCTTCAGGCCAAGAATAAATATAAATATAATAAAGATGAAAAATAGATAGATAGAAGATCTAGGAGTATCTGCTATAGAATCTTCAGAAATGTCTGCCTTATGGATGAACCATTATCCAATAATCCCATGTCTCAGCGGCTATTTATATATATATTTTGGCTAAAGCCCAATGCAGGATATATATTCTATCTATTTATATTTCGATCGTTTATAATATGTAGTTAACATGCAACAAGCAATAAAACATTAAACATCATTCGTAATACTCGTACTATCCGTATCGTATCGTATCGTATGGAGAAACAGGGCCAGTCTGGGTTTTGGGTTGGGTTGGTTTGGGCGGGAGTGTTCGGGTTCGGTGCTGGATCATTGCTGGGGAGGTCTCTAGTAATTGGGGATGGAGCAGTACTCCTTTAGAACGGCGATGTCGCAAGGCTTGCGGCAGCATCTGTCGGCGATGCCCTGCCGAGTGCGACGGCGCACAGCGGTCAGGGAGCTTAGAGCATCTTCGCCGCCATAAAAGCGGCCACCGAAGAGCGGATAGAGCATCGATAGATCGGAGGGCGTGCCCTCCTTTTCCTCCACATACTGGATGGGATCGAGGGGATCCAGTTCGGTGGCGGCAGCTGCAAGGAATCAGCGAAAGTGTTTTAGGGGACGAAGAGAAAGAAAATGCTGCACTTACGCATGCCACGCTTGTGGGGCAGGACACTGTTGAACTCCTTGCACACCATGGACAGCATCTCGTTCAGCTTGTAGCTGCACAGGACATGGTTGCTCTGGTCCCGCATATACATGCTGTCCGCAACGACACTGGACAGGGTCACAGCCAGGAGCACCAGGACAACGGATATCGACACTATCTTGCTCATGGCTATGGCTGTGAGTGGATGGTGGTTGGTGGATAGTGGGATTTGTTGGATGCTTTATGAACTGCCGGATTATGGTGGTTCTGTTCTGCCTGTCTCCTGTTCTGGCTAAGCCGTAACTGTTGCTGGTCCGCTGGCTGGCGCCGGCTTATATACACACACAGAGATCTCGAATTGGGTCTGGGTTAGGGTCTAGGACCGTGAAGTGAAAGCATATTCATATTCATATTCACATGGAGTGTCATTTTGTGTTAGGGACAAGACAAGTCTCGAGTGCAAGCCTCCGCTTGCTCAACTCGTTCAATGTCACCGCTGACTTATGCAAATGCCGATTGGAGAAATTGTGGGCGTTGAAAAGAAAGGCAGGTGTGTGTGTGTGTGTGTGGGGGGGTGGGGGTGTGGCTGCTGTCAGCCAATTAAACAATTTATGTATAAACAGCGAAGCCGTGCTAAGCCCTTTTGCCCTTCATTTATGAATACCAAATGAGGGAAGCATCCACCGAAGTCCCCCCCCCCAAATCCCCTACAGAACGAGTACTTACCGATGCGAGCCTGGCCCATTGGCAGCCAGGAGAGGCTGAGGCAGCAGCAGGCCAGGAACAGGCTCAACTTAGTCATCATTTTGCTTGCTCCTTCTTTTGGGAACTTATCCTTAGCTGGTTTGCTGCTCTCAAAGCTTTTTTAACAGATTCTTTATGTTTTCTTTTTTTGGTCTGTGCACAGTCTCCTTTTATTCATTAGTCAAAGTTTGTGCTGCATAAATAAGTGATTACGAATCGGATTATGAATGTATACAATAATGGCTATATGTAGATGTGTATCTGTATGTATGTATGTCTGTATGTATGTATGTATGGGAGTGTGAGTGTTTGCGTGTGGCTCTCTCTATTTGGGCAGGCAGTAGGAGGCCAACTCCTCGTAGCGGCAAGAGTACACACAGCACTCATCGTAGACGCCACCCGATGACCGCTGTCTCCTGTGACGTCGCGTCTGGATGAGCACCTCTGCCCCATAGAGGCTGGACAGCAGCGGACTCAGGGCATACTCGGATGGTGGTGCATCCATGGCATCGTCCAGTGCGGAGCTTCGCTTCTGCGGCAGTGTGTTGTAGCCGTGGGCACAGACCACGTCCATGGCATCGGACAGGGCCTGGCCGCACAGCTTGTGGCTGCCCTGCTGCAGCTGATGGACATGGCCATGGCCCTGGACGGCGGCCAGGAAGATCAGCATGATGAGGAGCGGCCATCGTCGCCTGGGCACCTGCACCTGTACCTGTGCTGCCATTGCACTTGTGTCCTTGCCCGACATCCTTGTGGCTTGCGGAGTCTGTTTTGGCTGTTTGATGGCATTGCAACAGCTATTTATACGCCGAAAACTGCCTCAAATCTGCAGGCAGTTCAATGCACTATTGGGGCAAAATCATCTAGCTAGTATCCTGCCTCAAACCCCATTGAAAACAACTCAAACCCCTATGTTTTCACACGTTACTTTCCGCTCAAGAGGCTGTCGCCGGCGATTACTGTTAACCGACAGTGTGGCAGCCTCATTAGCATTTGCCAGTGGGACGGGGCGCGCCCCTGCTCCCGGGCCAGGTGGAAAGTATGCTTCACTAAGTTTAAGTGTGAGGCAGGCGGCAGTCAGGCAGACAGGCAGAGGCCGAGTGGCACAGGCACAGTGTGCGAAATCGCTTCGATCTGATGGCCACATCGCAACAGTTGGTTGCCAGCGTTGCCGCAATCGGTTGCACACTCGAGACTCGAGACGACACTTCTTTCCCCCACACTTCGCGCAGAGACAAAAAGAATACAGTGCAGTGCAGAATAATCGTGAAATAACTCCAGAAAACCAAACAAAATGGTGCTCGATATCAAGATGTGCCGCTTCGACAATGTGCCCTGGGGCTTTCGGCTGGTGGGCGGTGCGGACTACGATTACCCTTTAACGGTTGTTAAGGTTAGGCCCGACGATCGGAATCCGTACGGATCGGAGAATCCCTGTCTCTCACACCTGCTAGCCTCCCCTCCCACAGGTGGTGCTGTGTGTTTTTGGGCACATTTTGTTTACGCTTTGGAAATATCTAGCTTTGTGTCGTTGGCATCGCTTTTAAAATTTAATTAGCTTTTTACGCTACTTTTTTTAGTTCAATTACGTAACGATGTGCGTGAGTTTTCACGTGTCTGTGTGTGTGCAGTGCAGTGCATTTGCCGAATTGGCAAATTAGTTAATTAAAGTAATTCCTAGCAGACACGCCTCTTTTGTTTATCTAATCGACAGACAGCCGGACAGTCGGAAAGGGCCGCCGTGCCATGTGCATTTGCCTGCTAATGAGCCGCATAATAGCGTCCGGGACATAAACTTATTCAAATTTTAATTGTGTGTTTTAGCGGCAGTTGCAGTTTCAGTTGCAGCGATTCGATTCGATACGATTCAGTTCTGTTTTGTTTTAGTGTCTGTTTCAGTTTCGGTTCGTGTTCGGGTTGCTGTTGGTGTTTCGGTTACGGTTTGTTGGATGTGCATACTCGTAAATTGCATTTTACATTTAGCATTTGCCCAATTTCGCATCGCATCGGATTTTGCAGTTACATTGTGTTGATAGCAACAGAAACAACAACAAGACAACAATAAAGTATCCGCGTAAATCCGCGACAAATGCAATTTTTAATTGGCAAACTGAAATGTACACGCGCACACACAAAGATAGTGTATGAGAAAAAGAGATGGAGAGAGAGGGCGACAAATACCGACACTTGAAATGCTCCCAAATTTGAGTATGAGTGCAAGTGCGAGGGCTGCTTGAGTGGAAGCATTAAATGTCTAGGGCACTTATCATTTAATCTCTCTCTCTCTGTCTCTCAATCTGTGCGTAACTCTGTAACTCGAGTTACTCAATAAATCCTCTCTAAGCTCAGCTTCTTGAATTACCCTGGGCAAGATTTATTTGTACAAAAATATGAGTTATATTTTCCGCACTTCCCTTCTACCAATCGCTTTACACAAACAACAATTGAAGCATCGCCTACTTCACCGTTATATAATTGGGTTGTCCCAGCAACCTTCTACCTGCCTTCCTACATATGTATGTACCTACATACATATGTACGCATAAGCTGAGAGTAAGCTGAGCTTTACTCTCTTTGTTTAACGAGAGTATGGGGAACGCATAGACATGCACTGGCATGCACAGACATGCTTGTAATGAGTGTCTCTCTGCGATAAAAACTAAAACGCACTCTCACGCCTTATCTTTAATCTTCAGCTTACATGCATATGTATGTACATATGTATGTTTGAAACTCTCTCTGTCTCCCCCTCTTCTGCATTTATGTACCTAGAAGTTTACTCAGCAATTGCAACACGCAAAAAGAAGACTTTCAAACGTAAGCACTGCTAGTACTTCTGCTGCGCTTTATTCTACTACTTCCCTTCGATTTTCTGGCACTCCTTGCATTGCTATGTATGTCCTCGAGGCAGCCTGGCCTCCACTGGGGAATTATGAGCGCTGTTTGCAAACAACGGAATCAACACTCAAAGCAAATACTACTCACACAATGAAGAGGGGAGGGCAGGGAAGCTTTAGAAAAAAGCAACAGAGCAGGGAAACGGTAAACATGTTTAACATGAAACATAAAAATGTTTTAGGTACTATTCAATATGTACTTTAAAATATCTATGTATCTATTTGTATGCCCTTGAAGATTTATCACCTCTACAAAGCTTCCTCCAGTTTCTTTTCAATCAGCCCTCGTCGCAGTGTCATACACTTTTCCCCTCTCCTTTGCCCGCTGTCTAAACACTCACGATTAGGCATTGTTCCTTCTGCTCTGGCGTGAGTCTGTTCTGTGGGTCTGCGAGGGGTTCTGGGGCTGGTGGCATGGGCTTCTGTTCTGGGGGTCTGGGTCTTCTGCTCTTTGTTTTGCTGACATTTGGCGCGCGCTTTATTTTTATGCACTTAGCACGCGACGCTACACCCGACGACAGCTAATAGAAATCCCCCATTATCGCATCTATTGTGTGAGAGTATCTCGACCCCGCCGCACTTTTATCCGTATCCGTATCAATGTGAATATATATCTAAAGTTACTTCTCTCCCTTTCCTTGTGTGTGTGTGTGTGTGTGTGATAGGTCACCGAGGGGAGTATTGCCGATGAGGCTGGATTACGGGTGGAGGACATCATTGTGCGCATCAATGACACCGCTGCCATGCCACTCAGCCATGAGGAGTCCCACCGCCTAATAATGAACAGTGGCAGCGTCTTCTACTTTGGCGTTTACCGGTGAGGGAGCATCCTCCTTCGTTTTCTTTGGGGACCGTCATAACCATTTATCAAAACTCTTTTTGGGGTATTTCCCTTTCTTGCAGCGAGTTCGAGGAGGATGTGTACGAGTGCCCCAAGCGGTTTCCCACCAGCGAGAGTTCGTTGACCAAGTCCCCCACTCCGACACCGCCGCTGTCGCTGTCTCCGACTCCGTCGCTGCTACGGCTAGCGGAAGCCGCAAATGCTCGCACTCCGGAACTCCGCTTGGAGCCCGTGGAGAAACGTCGCCAAGCCATGTCGGAAGTGCATTCGGAAGACAATCGCGAGGATGGAGGAGACGGAGACGGCGACCGAGCACCACCCAACGATGGGCGGCTGTATTTGCCCGAATTACCCGATCGTCCCTGCTCGGCGCTGTCAGAGCGGGCGGAAATTAAGCTGGTGGAGGAGGAAATTGCCGCCGTGCTGTCCGGCGAGACAGAGGTGCTCAAGGAGCACAGTGTCCTGGGGTGCGTTCCATAACACCAATACCCAATACCCAACACGCAACACCCACTGCGTAGCGTGGAGTGTGGCTGTGACGAGTGGGCGAGTGCTTTAACCAACATTCTATATGACAGCGTCAATTTCTACAGGCTCTTCCCCAAGCCGGGCGTCTGCATGGCCAGCGATGTGCTGCGCTCCCTCAACGAGGAGGTGACCAAGACGAAGCTGGAGAAGGACAAGGAGAACCGCAAGTGGTCCACCTTTCTGCAGCGGCCCGACCGTCCAGTGCCAAAGAGCAAGCAGCAGCTGGAGGCCGAGCGGCGGGCGGCCAATGCCTACAAGGTGACGATTGTCAAGTCCGCGCCACGCGGCACCTCTCCCCTGGTGAGTGTCTGCATCCACTGTCTCTGTGCTTGTGTGTGTGGCTCAGAGGTTAATTTCTTCATGTGACAGCCGGAAGCTAAGCCGGCGCCAAAGGAAGCGACGCCGCCAGAGCCAGAGCCAGTCAATGAGGAGGAGCCACCCAAAGAGGAGGAGCCACCCAAAGAGGAGGAAAAGGAAAAGGAGGAGGAGGAGGAGCCACTGCCCACCGACAGCGAAGTGCCGAATTTGGAACAGTTGCCGGGCAGCGAGGAGGAGCAGCAGGAGAAGGCCGATGCCCCAAAGGAGGTGTCCGACGGCCTAACCGAAGCGGAAGCACCGCCTGTGGCCAGCGATGAGTCCACTGAGCCGGGCTCCCCTTCCATTGCTGTTGCTGCTGCTGCAGCTGAAACTGCATCCCCATCTGCCCCTTCCCCTGCCCCAGACCCAGCCCCAGCCCCAGCCACGCCACCCAAAACCGAGGAGGAGCAGGCCCTGGAGCGGCAGCTGGCCGATGTGCAGAAGCAACTGGCCGCACTCTCCACTTTGCCCTCGACCATACAGTCCACTCTGGACGCGGTGACCAAGCAGTTGGCCGACCTGCTGCCCACATTCAAGCTCCAGCAACAGCCGCAGTCCATGCCACAAATCGATGAAGGCCTGGGCGAGGAGGGTGAGGTCGAAGGGGATGGGAAACTAACCCAGTCCCAGTCGCAGTCGCAGTTCCAGTCCGGATCCCAAACGGCCTCAGGCGAAATGGAGGATGCAGGTGCAAAAAACGATGGCCCCGGTCGACAGTAATTAAATTTTTCTAATGGCGCACTTTGCGTATATCCTTCTCTCCCTTCTGTTAAACCCGCATCCCGCATCCTTGTAACTGAACACTGGATACTGCTGGACCACCCCACAGGCAAAGCCATATCCATATCTGGGGCCGACAAGCCACTGGGGCCATGTGAAAATAATGAGGATAGATGCGATGCCAATGACCTGGAAGTGGCGGAAATTTCGCGCTCAACTGACGACAATCGCCAGGCGGACAAGGCGGACAAGGCGGACAGGGCGGACCAGCAGGTCGCAAAAACTCAGACAAGGAACCAGAAAGAGGAACAGGAGCTTAGCGAGGAGCAGAGCTTCAAGAAGCAGAAGGTGAGTGCCTGCCAACGGATGCAAGGACATTGCCTTGGAGCTATGTATGAGGAGAAATCCCTGGCAGGGTAGTTAATGTAATTATTCGGCCATAAGTGGTGGAGTCCGGCGTCCGAGCAGCCTTTAATAACATTAGTGCCCCACGGTCCGGTCCGATCTGGTCTGCTCTGGTCTGTCCGTTGCGTTGCGTTGCTCTACCTGGCATTCAGATTGCTCTACAGGCCAAAGCTGTTTGCGGGAGATGTGGCAGATTTATGTCTTTGTTTGCTGCATGGAAATGCTAAAGAAATATGCATTTAAGTTAAAGAAGCGAAAGAGAAACGTAGCTTCATTAATTTAGAGTGTAATCCAGGAAAAATAAGCAACGGAAACAAAAGATATGTAGTAGTAGAAATAATAATATAAATCAGTACTGCAAGTTTGGGAGGATCTAAGCTATAACCAATAAGATAATTCATGCCCATGGAATACCCTCATGGGTCTGCGTAGTTCGTAAAACAAAGCCACACTTTTATTTTTAGGTATTCCCGTATTCGGTCTGCTTCCGAAGTTAGCCTTAACCTGAGCAGATGCTTTATTCAATCTGTCAAAGCTGTACACAGCTGGAATTTCTCTTGGTTTCCATTTCCTTTTACCTCATCCACATCCACAGCCTCACCCGCACCCGCAACCATCTACCCACCGCGTGCCGCGTGATGTGTCCACAAATCCACAAATTAACTAAAATGCCATTTGGTTTTTGTCTTTTTCTACTTGCAGCATAATGTGCGCTTCCAAACGTAGTTAGTTAGCTTTTAATTGAGTTTAAATTTTGATAAATTGCCCGGCAGCAAGTTATATTTGTGCCCAAGAATGGTTCTCTAGTTGAATAAAGTCGGCCCACCGGGGGGCGCCACCCATTGGCAGTTGCTCTACCATTTACCACCCCCAAAATACCCGCCAGTTCAAGTCCAAGTCGCAGTGGCAGTGGCAGGAGAAAAATGCAGAAACCAAAAGACAATTAGTAGGCACCAAGTGGAAACCACTTCAACTTTGTTTTCTCTCTACCCCTTTCTCTTCTCTTCTCTTTTCTATTCTATTCTCTTCTTTCTCTCTCTCTCTCTCTCTCTCTTTACCTTAACTTCCCCCTCTCTGCAAATTCTCTTTTCCATGGTCCATCACTCGTATACGTGTATGGGTGCATGCTTCTTCTCCCTCCATCTCTCTGGATCTATGGCTCTGTGGCTCTCTGGCTGGCTCTGTGGCTGCTCTGTGTGTGCTGTGTGTGCGTGTGTGTGTGTGTGTGTGTGTGCTATTGCGATTGTGGGCGATGACATGGTCATGGCCAGAAACACGATGTCATTGAGGAGCTCGAGGAGCACTTGGTGCGCAAAAACAATCCCAGGCGTTCGAAGCGGGCCTTTGGGCCACTGGTCCCATCATCGGAGCGACCACTGGTGCTGCCCGGCGGACGGCGCTGGTATCGTCCCAAGGATGCCTACAACGATGAATTCATAGCCGAGACACTGAGCGCCCAGGCGGAACTCATCACGGGCAGCACTCTCGGGTGGGTACAAGTACAAGAGTCCTCCCATCTCCCATCACACTTCACTACAATCCCTCTCACAGACACGCACTAGAAGCTGGGTTTGTTTGACCAGGCTTTATTCCACACATACACACACACACACACACTGACATAGACATGGCATAACCAGGCCAAAAGCTCATCTCTGGCACTCATCTTCTTCACTTTTTTCATGGCTCATACTCGCTCCACATCGTCCACATCGTCCATCGTCCATTGCACGAATGCACCATAAATTTGCGCATTAGCAGCTGTCCCTACGAGAGCCCTCTGCTGGGCTATGACTCCAGGTACTGGGTATCCTACCCCCAAATCACAAGAGCCCTTAGATGCACTTTCATTAGCATTATCGTTGGCATTATCATTACCATGTCATCCCCCCCTGCCCCATGCTCCATGCTCCATGCTCCATGTCCATTTTCCCATCTCAATCTCATGCCCATTCTCATGCTGATTCCCATTGTGTGGGAACAGTCTGTCATATGGCCTGAAGTTGATTTGACTTTTCCTGCTTTGAGTTTTGGTTTTTTTTTTTTTTTGGGTTGATTTCTTTATGCATGCTGCACTTTTGCCTTATGGCCCAATCTCACTCTCCTTTTACTCTGTTAATGGTCTTTGTCTTTGTTACTGTTGCCGTCTCTGTCTCTGTCGCTGTCTCTGTATGTATCTCTCTCTCTTTATCTTTTGGTTCTCATTGTAGATTGCATTTTGGAATCGTTTGTTCAATGGCGAGCATATAACACGCCAGCGCTTCAGGTAAGTTTTCCGCTGCGTTGCGGAGTTCCTCAACTCGATTCGACTCTTTAATGAGGCTAACAACTTCTCCATTCCGTCGGTATGCTGTTTGCTCTATGTGCTCTGTGCTCTCCGTGCTCTGTGTGTCTTTGTGCCCGCCCTTGTCTTGTTCTTAACCATTTCGGGGGGGAGAAAAACGATTTGCTCTTGGGTTCTGGTTCTCGTACTGGTACTGGTCTTGGTCCATCCTGTCCTGCTGCTGCTGCTGCTGCACTCACGTCCACAGGGAGCTGCAGGGTCTCAGCCTGACGATGCAAAAGTAAGTTGTCACATTGGAAATTTTCTTATGTTCTTTCTCTCTGGTTCATTGCATGCATGCGTGGCTCTCCATTGGGAGCTCAAGTGTCCCCACTCACCTCACTGAAACCCTTTCTCTTCTCACGTCTCCTCACCCCTCACCGACCCACCCCGTAACCCCTGTTTAAACTGAATTCCAATTTAATATTGGCTCTTGGCCATTCGCAGGGTCAACTTCATGAAGTACCAGAAACCGGAGCGCAAAATCGATCTGAATCGCAGCGAGGTGTACAAGTATCTCAATCCGCATCTGGATCGGGCGCCCGTGCGTGGCATCGAAGTGCGTGCCCCACTAGTGGCCGCCGAGTCCGACATACGCCAGTCACTGCAGTCATAGGCAATGTCTATCTATCTTCCTGAATGCCCCAGACCCATACGATTTATCTACGCCGCCCTCAGCACAGCCCTTGCCACACTCGATTATCGCATAAGAAGCTCAACTCAAATATAACTATCAATATGCTAACAGAAACCGAGTTGTTGTCAGATGAAACTATGCGGGGTGTGGGGTGGGCGGGGGAGGTATGGTTGTGGTGCAGCAGAAGCACTATAAAGGGGGACTCTAATGCGATATTACATAATTTGTGTGCAACAAGGCGTATGTGTAATGTGTCGCTGTCGGGAGTCGTGCATGGCGTATCGTATCCTCCTTCAGGCGCCCTGCCCTACCCTGCCATGCCCTTCAGGCTGTTGCAATTTTCTTTTGCATAAACACGCGACGCCAACTGCTCGATATGGGAATATGTGCACATATATCTTTGTGTGTGGTTATATATGTACATATATGTATGGATATGATGTATATACTTCATGATTGTATGTGGGTGTGTGGGTGACAAACTCTTGGAATTTGCATTTATTAAGGCAAATGAATTGGGTTGTAACAAAAAAGCAAATGGCAAAATGGCAACAGCACAATAAACCCGTCTTTAGTTATGACACAAACAGCCATCCATATACTGCATGGGGATATATGGGGATATCCTTCTGTATGGATGGTAATGGCTTTTTGCGAATGTGTGGGCGGGGGGGCGGTGTGGGTGGAACGCACTGCCAAAATCAAAATTGTTGTCACGTTATAATGGAAACCGGAACGGGTAAGCAATGCGCACATTTCACTTGCCCACCGACAAAAACACAAAATGATGAGACATTTTTTTTGTATATTTTCTCTTGTTTTTTTTTTACTGTCTGTTGTTGGCAGAGGGATTCCAACTTGAATTTCGTTGTCGTTGTCAGGCCAACGGGCAATAAAAACGCGCCAACTACGTGAACTTCGCCGAGGAACTCGTCAAACTCACGACTTTACGAACTCAGAGACGCCACAGCATCAGAATTTGGGCATTCGGCATACGGCGGAGCGGAGCGAAGCGAAGCCACGGCGACGACAAGAGCGATGCTGATGGGGTCTCGTCTTGGACTGTCACAGCACGGCTGGCATTGGCATGTTGGCTCCGCATTATCATTGCATTGGCCACACAAGGATACGCTGCGCTTATGCTGTCCGTAATGCCCGCGAATTCCACTCGAGTTGGGTTTCGTGTTTTTGGGACAGCTTTTTGGCAGCGCAGCTTTTGAGCGAAATGTTCAACAGCATGCTGTCAAAGGTGGCAGTAAAACTCGCACCGGGTGGGCGGCACATCGTTCTCGGTTGGGGCAGGGCAGGGCATGGCAGAGCAGAGCAGTGCCGAGCCGGATAGGTGAAATGCTGAAATGTTGGAAATAAAATTAAGATTTGTGCGCTGCTGAGCTCAACTTGTTGGCACAAAAGTTTTTGGCTCTACTCATTTGTATGCTTAATTGCTAAGCCCCGTTCACACTAAACTGAGCTGAACGCTTTGAAGTCGCCTAATGCGATGCGAGTCATTTGGAAAAAGGTTTCGTTCCAGCAAGGGCTCTTCATTACAAGAAAATCGACTTCAATTTGTAGCCAAACTGTAGGAAAACTGCTAAGCATTGAGCGGCTATGTAGCAGTTATTGGTTGTTTTGTTATGGCTTAGTTCTGTATATTTGGCCAGTCAGTTGATGAATTTGTATAGAAATTCATAGTGTAATTTAGCACGAGTCGTTGGAGGTAGATCCATTTGCCGATCTAACTCAATTTACGGGAGATATAGCCATTTAAAGTTAGCTAAAATTCGTAATTTAATTATCAAGGGTTGCATACTTTGCGGCTGAAATGAATTATTCATTTTACATATGGATGCTATATATGTATCTATGTATGTCCGATCTAGGCCGTTTTGCGATCGTAGTTGTGGACCTGCAAGGTAAAAATAAATAAGGGATTAAGGGATGCACACTTTATGGACCTTCAGCTGACAGATTGCAGAACCACAATTTGTTCCATCAGTATTTTTATTTTAGATTCCCATTCAAACCCAGCGCCTAATAAAAGTTCAAACTTGGATCAATGTTTTGTGGTTTTTATTTGAATTTGAATAAACAATACTAGACAACAACTACTTAAGAGTAAGTACACGTACAGTAAGTACACACATACGAGTTACATAAAAATAGTTTTTAGTTTTTAATTTTTAGATTAAGGCTCTTCGAACGAATATTCCTTGAAACGAACTATATATGTATATGGTATGGTATAGTAAGGTATATGCTTGTGGTATATAGTATAGAGTCATGTATAAGTACAGTGTGTGTGTGTGTTTGTGTGTGTTTGATTACAAATACAAAGAAGGCAAAACTTACAGCGGCTTTGTCGCAACGAAGCAGCAATCACTTTAGAAGTGTGCGCCAGACGAAGGACATGCAACAAATTTGTTATAAAAACAAATTGTCTCTTTTTTTTCTCTTTAGAATTAGGGTACAGTTAGGGGTAGAGTTTGTGTTGGTTTTTTTGTGTGTGTTTGACACTAATTATCACTACATCAGTTTGAAGCTAAATAGTTGATAAGTTTCCCTTTAGGTTTCGCCCCCCAAAAAACAATCTTTCGACTTTCCCACTTTCACATCGATTTGCGATAGTTTTGTGTGTACATGCAAACGCAATTATTGCTAAAAATACATGCGAAAATCCAGCTAAATAAATTAGTTTTGTGTGTGTTTTGTTTGTGATGCATATTTGTGTCCCCCCCCACCCCAAGCACTTTCTGTGGGGGCGCGGGGAGCTGTTTAGGGGAGCTGTTTTCCTGAATTAAAGTATTTTGTTGCCGCGGCCAAAGGAGCTCGTGTAAGCCCTCAAAAATATGCCCTATCAATATTAAACATTAGAAATTTGTTTCTTGATTTCTGATTTCTGCTACAATTAAGGTACAACATTTCTGCGATGAATCTTCTTGCCCAGCTTCAACCATTTACAATCACAAAATCACACCCATAAATATGCTAAGACATATCCGTTTTGGGGGTGCTGGTGGGATTGTTTCAGGTGTGTGTGTGTTTTTATCTCTAAATACTAATTGCAGGTAGTTCGTTAATGCATTTATACCCGAATTATGCTGTTTGTGTATTGTTGTTGATTTTCCTATTTGTCTGTGTGTGTTTCTGTGTGTTTGTGTGTTTTTGGGGGCCTTTAATACTTTCAATTCTAATTCACTAATTAAGTTTCTTTGTGTGCCTTTATGGAGGCGCCTAGTGGACATCCATCTAGGCTGGTATTGTTGTTTGTTCATAGAAATCCGGCTCATCCTCATCGTTCTTGGCCTCTTGGCCATCCAACTGTAGGTAAAAGCAAAGTCCAAACATTAAAGAAATGTAAAATGTACTAGTAGAACGCTTGGCATACCGCTTGCAATTCCTCTGGCTTGTAGAGGGCCACCAAACGCTGCCGTATGGGCACCATCATGATCAGGAAGAAGGGGAAGGCCAGCGAGAATCTCGAGGACTTGACCGACCACAACACGACCAGACACAGCACCTGGATGGTGGTGAACAGGTGCAGCTTCCAGGGACGCACACGCTTCACATACGACGTTGGGGGATAATGCTTCACTGGCATGAAGTACAAGCGTATGCTGTGGATCGCGAGGATAGAGAGATTAGATAATGTCGGCTGTGGTTATTCCATGACTTACCGTTCGAAGAACTGAATGCCACTCATGGAGGCCACGCCCATGTACAGGAACACTCCGAAGAGCACAGCCATGGGAATGAGTCGCAGGAGCGGCGCCATCAGCACCGACAAACCGATCATGACGCACACAAAGAAGCCGGACAGACGCTGCTCCTTCACATCAATGATCCTGGGCGATTCACCAGGAGCATGCGTGCTGGAGGAGGAGGAAAATGGAGGAAAAACATTGAGTAAACATCCCATAGATCGTAGCGTAATAATTGCAAACCCACCGTGACATGATCGTGACCGATGAGACGTGCGTCACGGAGCGTACAGTGGCCGCACAGTGCCAGGGCATGCCAAAGAGTCCGCAGAAGAAGTTGAGCAGGCACAGCAGGACAATGTCCCAGTGCAGGCCGGAGCCCTTCTTCAGTCCGCGCTCGGGTTTGTCCACAATCAGTTCCGATATCTGCGACTCCATGAAGATGAGAATGTAGACGAGCAGGGCGGGCACCACACAGGCGAAGGGCACCCACGTGGCGGTGGCATTGAAGCCTATGTACCAGCCGCGCAGCTGGGGCGCGCTGGGCGAGAGTCCCGCGGGCACCACCAGCTTCTCGGTGTAGACGGAGGGCACCAGGTAATCGACCAGCACGAAAATGGCAATGGAGATGGGCACACCAAAGTCCCCGAGGGCACGACGTGCATTGCGGCCCAGGAAGTGGGAGTTGCGGAAGAGCTTCAGGTAGTAGGCCACTACGAAGGTGGCCAGGGTGAGGATGGTGCAGAAGAGGGCGGTGTTTGGCTGATTGGTGGGCAGCTTCGAGCCACCCATTGGTGCCGCGGTGGTCGTTGCATTCAGCAGAGTGGCGCTCATGTTGTAGTGAGTTCCGTTCTGGTCCTGGTCGTGGGCGACGAGCGTCGGCGGCGGCAGGTTGTAGTCGGAGAGCAGGGGGTTCTGCTGGTAGATCGAGACCAGCTTCATCACCGTCTCCACGATGTAGATGAGGGTGATCAGGGCCGAGAAGATCTCTTGGGTGAAGCGGGTGAGCAGACGCACATAGACGCTGCCCTCGAAGGCGGACACACAGAGGGCAATGATGATCAGCCAAATGCCGACGAAGACGCGCAGCGAAAGGAAATCAAAGTCGTTCTGGGTGCAGAAGACCATCAGGGCCTCGTCGAACAAAAGCAGCGGTCCCGTGGTGCCGATTATCACCAGCGGCTGGCAGGAGAGACAGTGGAAGACGATGCCCACGAAGGAGCACGAGATCAGAGTCTCCGAGATGCCGATCCTGCTCTTCGTCTTGTCCGACACCAAACCGCCGAACGTGATGGCCGTGGAGAGGCAGGCAAAGTACATGAAGATGGTCGCCGCCAGGGTCTCCGTGTTGAGGCCGTCGAGGATGTCGCTCTTGTACATGGGCATGCGTCGCTTCAGATCGTTTCGCAGGCCACCCCACAGGCGGTGGGTCTTCTCCATGGGATTGGGCTTCTTCTTTTTGCGCCCATTGTCGTCATCGTCGTCGTCGCCGCCACCGCCGCCACCACCGTCGCCGCCATCGCCACCCATTCCGATGGCGCCCATCGATTGCTTCTCCAGCAGGGCCTTCTCCTCGTCCTTGCCGATCTTGATCATCTCGCTGTCGCGCTTCACCTGCAGCGCCTTGATCTTGCGCGTCCGAATCCAGTCCTTCTTGGCCTTCAGCTCCTCGAACGGCATCAGATCGTGGCGATCCCAGTTGCCGGGCGGCAGCACAATCGAATCGTCAAGGAACTCATTGATGGCCGACAGCAGATCCTTGCGGTCGTCCGCCCTGTAGGCAATGGCATGGAAATGCTCGTTGGCCATCAGCGTGGAGATGGAGCGACCCACCTCATGGTAGTCCAAGTCAAAGTTGAGCGGCCCCAGCAGCACGAACATGAATCTCACGGGCACCGGCACCTCCGTCAGGGTGGGCATCAGGACACCCTCCGACAGGCGGACAAAGGCAATCGTGGGCTGATCCAAGAACTCAACGGCTCCCACCTGTAGGGGAGAAAGGAAATAGGAACTAAAATAAAGCCATTAAATATCCCATTGGGGGATGGGACATACCAAAACTGTGGTGGCCTCTGCTCCAGCGGGAATGCGCCTCAGGATGGTGTCATTCTGCAGCTTCTTGAGATCCTCCTGCGACGACGAGTACATGTCGTCCTTCATGTCGATCTTCAACTCATTGCTGCGCTTGCTGCCACCAATATCGGCGGCCGGCATTATCTTGATCTTCTTGTCATCGGTGCCACCCGACAGGTTCTGTGAAGCATGCCCCAGAAATCAATCAGTATTGTTGGCATACCAGGGATAAATCGCTCTACTTGCTGGATAGAACACATCATGCATAATATATGTACA